AGGCGAGGGATTTTCCATCAGCGCTTGCAGCGATGTAAAGAGCGTCTTCATCTCTTTACTGAACTGAGTCCGATCCTTGATGCCAATGCTCTCTTCTTTCGCTTTCTGCTTCTCCCGTGCGTTGACCAGGAACTTCATGATGAGTTTGCCGACTTTGAACGTGGCGCGCAATCGTCGAGAAATCTCGGAGTCTGTAGGTTTGGCGAGAAGTCGACCAAGGCTTTGCATCAGGCACGAAGTAACAAGAGAATGGAACACTTTGGTTCGCGCATACTGGTCCACCAGAGGCTCAAGGTTGAAGCGTCTGTCGTGTACTATGCCTAGTACTATGACGACGGCATTGAAGACCAGATCCTCGTATTCGTCACTACCGGCGTAATGGCTTTGAATGGCGAACAGGGCATCGAAAACTTCGCTCAGCAGCTTGACGATCTCTATCTCTGGAACAAAGTTAAAGCGGCGCAACAGTCCTACAAGCTCTCCTGGTGGTTGCTCCTGCCACTTGATGAGACCCAAGATAGTCGGATCTTGAGAGTATCGTGTACTGCACAGGAAGGTCTTGACATGAACAGATGCCATGGGGCCCATGACATGCTCGTCCTTCTTCTTAGCACTCCATGGCAGACCAAGGTATGCACCTTTGCCGGCAATCATACCCGATGTGTATTCGTCGTATCTGTACAGCGTTAAAGCATGGTCGCCATCACGAGCAAAGGCGTCTTGATTCCAAAGAGGCATCCAGCAAAGGGCAAATGGAAATCCTGGCGCATCGGCAACGCTCATGACTAAGTGTGACCCGGGTACGTCCTGGGGATCAATAGCAAGACGGATTGTCGAGTTCCAGCCCTCACCGCGCTGGGCTGCTGTGGTGCGCCAGGCTGTATGGCCTGCGCTGTTAGTTGAAGGGTAGATGCACCCCTCAATGCGCTCTCCAGAGCTTTTCCGGACCTCGATCGTGAGCTGGAGGTTAGTCATTGGAGAGGTCTGCACCAGCGGAACGGTACCAGTCTTCGGGTGAGCCAGGAACGCGTTCTTTGGGAGGAAAGGCTCGACAAGCGTGAGGTAGATGTCACTGCGTGGCTTGGTTGGCGCACCTGAGAATCCAATCTTCCGACATTGCCTGATGTTGTGCAACATGGTGGGGATCTTCTCGATCAGACCCTCGGCATCGGCGTGGACAAAGGCCTTCAGGTGTATGGTAAGTCGGCTAATGTGCGCGCTCAACTTGTACTTGCCACTGGCGCTTGGGTATAGTTCTGGCAACACGCTGTCCCAGCCACCATCACTCTCTAAGATGTCCTCTCCAGCCACTGCAGTGCTGTACATCCTGACGGTTTGGTCCGCCTCCGACTTGGACTGTAGTATCTGATTCACAGATACTACGCCGACTGCAACAGACCTCTTGAGTGTCTTCTGGTCTCTAGAGAGAGCCCGGGCTCGTGTGCTTGCGGTTGCTGAGGAGCCTGGCCGCGTATCGGAATTCTGCGATCGAGTCTGTTCAAGGCTTGGGCGGCGGCGTTCGTCCGAAGAGTCTGTATGCCGCGATTCGGTGTGTCGGGAGTTGGTTGATTCCTTCCTCTTAGAGCCGAACATCACGCTGCGCCTTCCACCCTTGATGCTGCCTTGTTGGGAAGGCTGCACTGTAGACCCTTTGCTTGGTGCTGTATCCTTGCTCGTGCCTACCTTTTCTGCTGCTGCTGTTGTCGCCGAACGAAGTGGCTCGTTTGTCATCAGCCTGAAGACGAGATACAAGGTAGTACCTGATCCTGCGCCTTCGCCAATGTCGGTCAGACTGAGGTCTACAAGCAATGCGCGGAGTTTGTCGCCGCTCAAGGACACGGCTGCTCCGTCTCGCCCAGTCAAATCAAAAGAGTACGCCTCCGAAAGTGGTTGTGGTGCTGACCCCGGCGCCTTCAGGCACAGGTACATGCTGATCTGAGCCGCGCCTTGTACGACGTCCCCCACCACATTTTTCAGACTGACGAACAAATGGTGTAGGTTGTGCTCATCGACCTGAGCTGTTGGTCTGCTGTCCAGCAAACTCATCATGGACTGCAGTTTCGTAACTTCAATGGCCGAGTCGTCGCCCGTCAGGATGCGGCCACGCTGCGAGGGGCTGCGCACAATGACATCCCCACAGAGCATCTTGTTGCCCGCCACGAGGTCCCAGACGGTCGCTTCGCGTACCTTTTCCAGCTCTTTGGCCGTGAGCACCTTGTGCAACAGCTGGCGGCGTGCCGTGTCCAGGCGGTTCACTAGCCTCGACATCTTGTCCAACGAACCATACTTGCGTGCTAGCAGCAGCTCGTGTACCTTTGTGGAATGCCATTCTCGAAGGCAGGACGCGATTTCGTCGACCAATGGCTCTTGGGCTGATGTAGGCGTCTCATCACCAATCTTCAGCATGGGCACGGGCGCGGGCGGTCGGGGGGCGGTCGGGTCTGATATCGGTGAGAGAGGAAGCATTAGTTGCTGGAGGTGTTCTTCGCGGGAGGTCCATTGCGAATGGGTGCTGCCAGCGCGCTTTCGGGCAGACTTGCGCCGTGACAGTGGGCGGGTCAGAGATGAGGGCAGCACAGAGACGGTGTCACTCTTCGAGGCTCGTCGCGCATTGGGCCCAGAGCCTTTTGCAAAAGGAGAGGTCGCGCGTGTGCTTTCGGTGGGCGTCACGATGCCGTTAGTCGGATGCGCGTACTGACTTCCACGCCCTGAATCGTTCGCAGCTTCTTGGGTCGCCGTGTCCTTGCCTTCTCCTAGCACCTCACGCACCTCGACGCATGCCCGTGGGAATATGCCAGAGAATACGCGTGCTTCGAGCGTTTGGCCCTTCACACTCGTCAAGCCGGCCAGCAGCGAGGGCGGCGCCACCAAGTATCCTCGATACCATGATCCATCCTGGCCACCCTGCTCGATTATGTACAATTCGTCACCGATCTCGAGGGGTAGGTCGGCGGGCGACGAGGGCTGGAAGGGGTATATGCATATTGCGAACGCGATGCGCGGGAGCGGTCTCCAGCTCGGCATGGCACCAGACGTGTCGGGCTATATTGGGGGGAGTCGGCGACAGAGCATCACGAGCAGTTGACGGTAGGTTGTATGTTTCGGGGGCTCTTCCAGAGAGTTTCAGATTCGGGTGCCGATGGGTGCGCTGCACAGGATGCCCCTGATGGGATTACCGATGGGAAATCTGGGGATGCTGTCCAGAACCTTATTACAGTCAGCGGGGCACGTCCGACGTTGAAGCTGAGCGAGCGTTATTACAATGTGGCTTTGGTAGTGCAAGGGCAAAGGGTCGCGTGTCAGAAGAAATTATGTACAGCAAACAAAAGTTTCGTCGTAGACAGCAATGTTGATAACTTTGACTGCGCCATTCGGTAGCAGCCGTGCATGCATGGCGCTCGGGGCACAGGCTTCGTATCATCGCCAGCATGGCCCTGGCCTCGAGTGTTGGATATCATCATCACATCGACGCGTTCTAAGTCAATGCGCCCAATATGTGTGCATCTCCCCCGTGAACTTGCATCGGCCCTTGACTCCGTCACGTTCTACATCTGACAATCTGACCGTTTTCGCAACCACGTATCCGGACTCGAAAAGCAGGGGAAACTACAGCCGGTGTTTAATTGGTGAATAACCTTTGTTGCACATCTCCCGCCTGTCTTGGCTTCATTTTGGGCCACCAACCTTCGAAAGCACGGGCGCCTTGCTTCTAACTCCACTCCACACCCGGCCAACGTTCATTCCAGATCAAGTGACGGTCCGAGCACGCTAGATATATCTCCTACATGACACGAGTTGCGTATCTTTGTTCGTTCGTCTCCCCTTGCGTCCTCTGCCTTTCACGTTCGTCAACATGCGATCTCCACGCACAGAGCCACGAGATGAAACCGCGCCGGTGGAGCCACCTCAGATGGGGCTGCATACGCCGCAAACATGCGCGTCGTGGCAGGGCAGTATGGCGGTGCACTAGTGGCATTTTCCGTTAAGGGTTCGCTATAGCGGCCACAGCTCCTCATCACACGACCGTGAACGCCTCTCTGGCCGACCTTAACACCGTTGTACCACCATCGAAACACCGAGACAGCTGTCCATTTAGACATAGCGGATCGCAACATTGGAGCCCGAGAGCGGCGAATGTCTCCGCGACTTCACATCTTCCGTCTTAAAAAGGAGTATCAGTGGGGCCGCATGCCTATCTACCTGGACTCTGGGAGACTTTCCTTACTAAACCCAGGCTCTAGAAGCCTTGATCTGCGTCGAACCTGATGTGTGTGGGAGGAATGTGTAGATCTGCAACGTTGGCGGACGTATTGCAATCTGGTCTCAAGCTGATAGTATTAACAGAGGCCTGCCTATACAGGGAATTGGTTTGCGACAGAGACACATGCACTGTAGACGTCATGATCGGTCATGCGAAGTTCGGAACAGTTTACATTGCTTTTTTATATCGGAGGATATTTGACGATCCTTGCTGGCAGAGCCTGCTGACGTTATTCTAGTAAATGGCTTAAAGCTGCAACCCATCATCAGCTCAAGGCCGACACCGTAGCGACATGAAATCCTAGAGACAGCGCAATCAAGCTCCATAAGTACCATTGCGATGAATCTAAAAACGGACTGTGGTGAATCCGCATTGCGGGCCGTAGCGTGCCTATGCCCTCAAATCTGCTCATCTGGTGGCACACATCTGCGTATCATAGTTCCTAGCGATCTTGGCGATTGTCATCGTCTTGCATCTCTTAATTGTGGTCCATAACCAAGAGATTTTCTCTTTGACATCGTGACAGTTGACATATCCTTCGCACTGCAGGATCGGCCTTTTCAGTCTCTTCAACTCTTTCTTTGGGATCTGATGCCCATACAGGCTAATTAATGACGTCTCAATATCGAGCCATACGGATACAATGATGGAGATGAACATGGGGGTGTCAACACCAGCCTCGACCTCTGCTCATACACATCACATGTCAGCCGCAAGTCCTCAATCCTCCATACCAGCCATGGGCATGTCTGGAATGGCATCGACCTTCTCGAGCAGTACGCATGTCACCCTATGGTTCACCGAATGGACAACGACAACAACGGCAACCTATGTGTTGACTATCTTCTTTCTCTTTTTCCTGGGTATCTTCAACCGATTCCTTAGTGCGCTCAAAAGCCAGTTGGAGATGAAATGGAAAGGACAGCACGAGACTAAGAGCACCTTGCCATCCATACCTAACACGGAGAAGCTCGGTCACGATGTTCGTGGCCATGCTCGACAATGGAGCCGTGCCGTACGACAGCAGCCTTTTGACATGGATGATAAAGAGAGGCAAGAGATCGAGCCCTTGAGTCCGGCAGAACCGCGATTAATAGAGGCTGAGGAAATTGGCCTCTCACGACACCGACACGTATCCTCAAAGAGTTTCTGGATAGCGCAAGCACCCTGGAGCATAAGAAAAGATGGGATAAGCGCTGCTTTAGAATTTGTTCGAGCACTGATTGGCTATGTTCTGTATGTCTTCGACGAAAACTGTAGCAGAATTGACCGCAATACTAATACTTCGTTAGGATGCTTGCTGTCATGACTTACAATATCGGGTTCCTGTTTGCGGTCACGGCAAGCGTGCTCTTTGGCGAGCTGTTATTTGGGCGATACACACGAGGGGGCTTTACAAATATGGTTGAAGATGGCTGCCATTCTTGAGCAGCATGCTATCTCGGTTGAGGTAAAGAGCTATCCTTTGGTGGGTCCATGTTCTGCACAGATGGAGCACTAGATCCATGGTCACATCAAGAAGAGTGTGATCGTATTTTGTCAACTTTGCATGCCTTTAGTAGAAACGGGATAGATAGCTTCTTATCGCATTTCTACTTCAGGTACAAAGCTTGGCGCTATAGACATATTCCTAGTCGAGTATTTCTCAGCCAAGACAGCTATGTCTGGGCACAAGGATCTTTGTTGGAGGCGATGTGCTCTGTTTTGTCGTCCAGGCTACAGAGGGTGGTATTCTCGCAGGCAGCAATAACAACTCCAGTGCAAACCTCAGCAAAGGAGTCATTCTTGCAGGTTTATGCTTGCAAATGGTGATAATCAGATTCTTCGCCGCTGTAGCTGCGATTTGGCAGATGCGGATAAGCCAGTATAGTGCCAAAGAGCCCAAGCCCAAGTCACTCAACTAGCTACTTTACTTATAAATTCTATATACCTAGGTATCGTCAGCATTCTCATACCGTAAGAAATCTATTTAGGGTTATTGAGTACGCCATGGGACGTGGGTAAACTTCGTTTGTCTGTCTTGAGTTGAATGCTAACACGAGAAAGCTGATGCATATCTCCTCGTGAACGCATGGCCCACCGGTGTGTCTGACACTTCGCTGATGGCCTTTGTGTTAGTCGTCTGCGCTAGGTGGTATGTTCGTAACGCCATGCAGGCAGCGCAAAGCGATGATGGGCACGTGGCGACAATGCTCGGGTCCAGAGCTAGGGGCACTCCAAGGAGTTGAGAGATCAGCCTTGATTAGTTTAAGGTATTGGGAGCTCAGTTCAACTCAAACGTATGATACTTCTCGGGGCGGTAACTAGTACCGTGGACCTGTGAACCAATACCAAACTTCACACATCACAGCTACTACGCGGTCCCTCTCAGAGCTATTCGATGCAACCAACAATGCAAATTCCTGAACCACGCGCATATACTTCTATTGGGTTTAGAGTTTTGTATTTTCTTGTCACCCACACTACGGGCGGTTTCATATACACCACATCTTCAAAATCTATTATTAAATTTCATAATTGACAACGACATCCGACACAGCGCACTCGTTCCCACCATGCCTTCGCAAAATCCGCACTCAAAGCTTCGGGTTAATTTCTTTCCAAAATCACCTCAACGACGCAACAAGAACTCTCGTTCAACGCTACGAGATAAAAGCCTTGCTGCCGCTTATAAGATCACTGCACCGATTTTACTACCTGAAGAAGAGCCAACGCATGGGTTTGAATATTTTCCGTTGTGGTTAGGCATCAAGGCACTCTGGAGTGGGATCGATTGGTGTTTCAGTCAGGCTTTCGATCGGCTGGACGCTATAACGAGCTTTCGCGAGAGTGAGAGCCAAAATTAGGAGGTGGACTATCGAACAAACAGAACTCCAACAAAATCATCAACGACCACCTCAAAGACAAAGGAAAATAGATTCGACAGCGCGAGCCGACGTAACCGAGCCTGGTAAGCAGCTGAAGTACGCTCCAACCATCTGGTCGTATCAATGTTGCTATCCACCACGACCACCACACCTACTTGCTACCGCCAATGACGCCGACAGCTCTCCACCGCTGATCCGCACCCCGGCAAACAGGCGTTTCATCGCGTATCGCCTGGGGTGGGATGCGATACATGACCAGATACTCCCCATAATGCAGCCACTCGGCATTTGCATCCTTACCACCAGCACTGTCCTTTAGTATATCCATCGCACGAAACACTGGACCCCGAGCAAAGTGGGCCGGATCCACCGTGACGACCCACGTATCTTCGCCGTACCGCTCACCAAAGTGTTTGGCTACTGCCTCTGCGTGAGCTAGGTTGTCATAGACGCTGATGAAGGGAGAGGAGATGTTGGTTTGCTGATTGAGGTGGGCAAGGCCAAATCGAGACAGTGCAGAGGTGTAGTTGACGATGGTGGTTTGGTTCTTAGAACTGAAGCCTGTGGAGAAGGAGTATCGAGTCTGAGAGCTTGTGCGGTGCACGCGGTAGACTTGAAGTGGCCAGGCAGTAGGAGCAGAAGTTGACCCAGATGGTGCATAGATAGGATGGGGCTGCGTTAGCGTGTATAGTGCTGTTTTTGATATCAGTATATGATTTTGGAAAAAACTTGCGATAATCTGAAAGCTTACCTGTCATGGTGACACTTGATTCGATGCGTCTCCAAAGACAAGCTCTGGTTGGATATAGAATGTAGCTAACGAGATGTTCTGCTGGAGGTGACCTTCTTTGTAGGATTGTAAGACGTATTCCAGGAATGGTGATCAGAAACTTAAGAACGGGAACTTTTCTGGAGACATCATTACAGTAGGAACCAGAATCATTTCTTATATCGCTATACACCCGTATAACGTCTGATAAGCAGAGGGGCGGTCAAAAGAGCCGTTCAAACGGTACAAATGCATCTGAATCAGGAGTTCGTTGTCCATGTTGGCTTCCTTCCCCGACGGAACATGGACATCGTTTCGTCTGCTCGAGTGTTGACTTCCCGAAAGCCAACAAAGAGACAGCGACATCCAACGCCTCGTGCCGTCGGCAGGTTAAACCGGGTTGTGGGGACCGTCGTGATACATTCAGTATCGAAGTATAGTGCCGTAGTCGGGTTCCTTGTTTGGTGGAGAAGCTTAGGCCAAGTGCATGTGGTACAGGTCCTCAGTCCTAACGCTTCAAATGCCTTTCCCGATCGATGTCCGTTTGATATGCAGGTCACGGTCACTTGCATTCACCCGCAACATCTATACCTAGATCAGACATGTCAGTGTAGAAGGGTCTTAGCGAGACAGAGTTGAAACTACAGATGTGTCTTGATCGGAGACTCTAGAATAGAAGAGATCGCGCAAGAAGATGAGAATAGCAGGAAAATAAACTATCGACGAAGAGTGAAAACATGCAGACATCGAAAATTGGTGACGACAATAGATCCAATCCGGCATTGAAAAGTCGATTCTCCAAGGAGGCTCCTGATTCGACTGGAGGCAGGACAAAAGCTTTGAATCTTGGGTTTTCGGATTGTTAGAGGCGTATAGGGATGCTGCCGATGTGTCATTTCATGAAAACCAAATTGCTGGGGTCGTGCAGGTAAGCGGGTAGATGCAGTTAGGGGATGTATCAGGCATTGCATCCCATTCGTCAAATATACAATATTGAAGACTATATGCGTGCGGTACCTTCCGAGTATTGAAAACCAATGCATGTCTGCGATGGGGGTGGGAATTCGCAGTAGGTACCGTCTCCAGAGACACGGAAGGAAAGCCGCCTGCGCGGAGCAGCGATTACACCTGTCAGCATATTCTCACCGCCACTTCCTTAGCGGCGTCCGCTGGCCATGATACTATGAGCATCTCACATATGAGATGTACGAAGGATAGGGTGGAGTACGCACGTCGAAGGATGTTGGTTTTCATTCCGCGGCGATCTAAGCCCCATCGGGACAGGCGTCATATCTTCAAAGTCCGAAAAGTTGACTGACGACAGTAATCGCAAGCGCGCAGGCGAGCGTCGACGCTATCCATCCATACAGACGGTAGGCGGAGCTGTTCAAGGCATTTGTTGCACTTTAATCTGACATCTCGCCAGCCTATCCCACCCCTGCGCTGTCACAAAATACACACCAAACGCCACAACCCGTCACCCACCACTTCTACCCACGCTCGCAAACGCGCCGAAATCTCGCGAAGGCACTTATCCTCCACGTCACATATCCACAATGTCTTATTTCCGGATAACACTCATGCGCTCCGGCATTGGCATGCCTGAGAAGACGCAAGGTGTACTCAAAGCGCTCGGCCTCCGCAAACGCATGACGACCGTCTACCACCCCGTAACACAGTCCGTCGCTGGTCAAATCATGAGGATAAAGGAATTGGTTGATGTTAAAGAAGTCAAGAGCCCGATGACTAAGGAGCAAATGCGCGCCGCGAGGAGACCGGATCCCGGATACTACATCGAGCAGAGGGCAGGCGAGGCTATGAAGGGTTATGAATAGATGCAAAGAGACAGGAATGAGATGTGCTGTTCGCATGTAAATTAAGCTGCAAACATGTATGCATATATGGCGTTATGGGACATGAGCCTTACGATCGAGCCATTTTGCATGCTCACTTGGAGGACTAGGCTGGGCGGATGTCCGGTTGGTATGCTTTGCCCACTGTGCATAAGATAACTCAACCAGAATCCTCATTCTTATCACAGACATAAGTACAGTGGCTGTAGGTTTCCCGCCAAATGCGCGTACACGGTTAGATTCGAGACGGCCGGGCAATTGGGCTTCGTGTCTAGTCACGAGAACCGGTCACCAGCTTTTTATCATTATGCCACAGTTTTGCCACCAGACATGCTTCATCCACCCTGAGCACGCAACACTGACAGTAACTGATAGCTGTCCAATGGATTCTTTGTTGTGGCTAGCGAACGAGTTGCAGTTTGGCTGACACACGACAGCTGAAGACTCTGTAAATTTTCCCATAAATATGAGAACTGGCTTTATGAACCACCACGGCGTCGTTGTAGTGCCCTTTGGCTGTTTAGTTCTCATTTCGCTTCGTGTGGATGGTCGGCGCGGTGAGTTAAGTTATATTGGACATGTTTACATCCATGGTCACATCCACGGCGAGGCACTGGAGAGCGGCAAGACAATCAAAGAGTACACGCTTCGCTAGACCTTTCTTCGAGGAGTCAACCAAAAAATTCTACGCAACCACCCCAGGCCCTATACCAAGGAAGTCTCTCTCTCTGTTATGCACCCAAATACCCCTCGCAATAGTCTTAACAAACCACTCCTCAATACCCCACCCTATCGCGCTCATCATCCACAAAAACCCCAGCACACGCCAGAAGATACTGTCCCTGAACCCCATCCGCTTTCCAAAGTCAATGATGTGATCTTCCAGCATGATGATCGCTGCCTGTCCGAGAAAGCACTTGAGCGCGCCATCATCGTCAAACTTACGATTCACCAACATACTCGCCGCTCCATGAACCCACCCAGATACGCCAAACGCCACAAAAAGCTGGACATATTTGGACGCGAAAGAGCCCTTGCGCAAACCCAACACATCCCTGGTAAGCCAGGTACCAGGACTGGAGCAGATGCGCCGACACTGCTGATGCCATACCCTCGACCATGCACTACGCACACTATACAAGTCTTCAAGTTTGCCGAAGAGAGAAGGGCAGTCCCGTGGGTTGGCGAAATGCGTAGCTACACTCACAGCACCGACAGCCGAGTTTGCCATTTCCATTGATGTCATTGTGAGGAGTATATGAATCCAAGTATACCAGAAACGGGAGAGAAACGGTGAGGACGGTGGGAAGGGTTGGAAAGGCTTAATAGTGCGGATGTCGACCCAGGACCCATAAGGAGAGCCGGCGGAGTAGGAGACTATCACGTCTTTCATGAGGTAGAAGATGAGGGCTCGCAGGGTTTTGCGAGCGACAAAGGTGCTGAGTTGACATTAGTCCTGCTAGGAATGGAAAGCTGGAAATCATGGTACGTACAGACGGGGGTAGTCGGCTGGTACTTCCATGTACACGTTCTTGACTTGGTTACTCCAACCTGTGTAGCGAGGCGTTGTGGTGAGACGAAGCGCCCACCACATTCTGCTCAGGAATGTCCTTCCTGCACCACCTGGCTTATCTTCGTAACCCTTCTTTGACACCTTATCATTGTCCTTGTGTTTGTTTTCATCTCCATTCTTCCCATCCTTGCCGTACTGTATTTTGTACCACCCTTCTTTTTCGGGACTACCCAGTAAAACCCAATCAACATAAGTGAAGACGCAACTCCATACTCCGCAGTTGATAGCATAGTGATTTCCCCAGCCTGCATGCCATTCTCGATACAGAGACTGCGTGACGAGTAAAACAATAAGTGATAGACTAATGCTCACACGGAGCAATTGACGCCTGGATCCAACGGCAAGGGTGAGAACGTTGACTAGGTACAAGAGTGGGATTTGCAGTGTTATTATTTGAGGGGGCAGTTGGAACAGGGCCATTGCTACGATTTTGATTGTGCGGTCACGAGCATGGGGGTGTGACAGTTGAAGGAACTAATACATGACGGCACATTGTGGAATTTAAATAAGAATTTACACGATCCTTCGACCGGGCATGTCTGTCAGCATCCGGTGGGTAGTCGGAGACAGGGCTGACATGCTGGTTCAGTCCAATGAGAATCGTTCAAGTACGTTAGCGAATGGGTCTGTGATGTGACTTGTGTGCCTATGACTAGTTTAGCTAGTTGTAGTCGCCGGGTGGCCGTATACACGAAGATCTCAGAGGTTCCGCATCCTGGTGCCAAGAATTGGTATCATTAAATGCTACAAGCTTGGCTGCAATCAATGATTCGACCGAAAAGCCAGATTTGAACACTATTAACGCGGCAGTGTGATTTAGCCTCAAATCTCTACGTCCTGAAAGCTTGCTCCGTCACCGTCGTCTTCGGCCGATGGCTGCCCAGGCTTTGGCCGTTGCGGTAAACTTGCTTCTATAGACTTCTCATCGTTCGGTTCAGGCTCGGAATCGTCCTCTTCGCTGTCCTCCTGCTGTTTCTCCTGGTCCGATGGTGGTTTGAGATCTTCGGTTCGGGCTTTTTGTTCTTCGGTTTGCGTCTTGGGCTCGATCGAGTTCCGCTCGCTCTTTTCACTGACGTTGTCTTTTGGTGGTGGAGGGGGCGGTGCTGCTCCGTCTGTATCGCGATCGCGCCTTGGTTGCTCGGGTGTGGGTGGTGTCACCTCTGTGCGCGGGCTCATAACAGGGCTTCTAGGTTGCTGCTGCTGTTGTTGCTGGGGCTGCTGTGATGATTGTTGAGGTGCTTGCTGAGAGCCTCCCGGACCGACACTTCGTAACCTGGGGTCTGCGTTCAGGTAGTAGCCCCTCACACCAACAATTCTGCCTTCCCGCTCGCAGCCTATGACCCAGTCTGGCACGACTACAGGGATGTTGTTCTCGACTGCCTTTTCCCATGCCGGTCCCCTGCCTTCAGTGCATACAAAGTGCGTGGTGTCGATGCGCACGTTATCCGCGATTTTAGCGCCGATTCGTTCAACGGAACGCTGCAGCGACTCGCGGAGAGCGGCGGGCATGTGGCCAGGGGTGATGGTGATACCAGACAAGTCTGTCATCTTGTGTGTCTGGACCAACAGCTTCTCACTGCTGAAGGTGCCCGCACTAGTCTTCAGAACCAGGTGAAACTGGTACTCGGTGTCGACTGCCAGGCCACTGAGCTTGGTGCTGTGTACGTCGCTCGGCTTGGGTATTGTGCCGGCCTTGTTGCCATTACGGTATAGAGTGAGGCTGCGCAGTTCGGCTGTCGCAATGTCGATGGGATCCCACTCGAGGACGACGGAGGTCTGGGTGGCATTGCGACACTTGAGAACGGGGGCTGAGGGGGTGCGCTGGCCAAAGGTACGGAATATCTCAGACTGGAGCTCGTGGAAGGCTTTCTGTGCGTCGGCTTCGGCTTTGTAGTTCCTTCCCACGTCAATGTCCACCATAGAGCCAGACGAGATGTCCGGGGGTAGCAATATGGAGGGGAACTCGATCTAGCTCTACGTCAGCCAGGATGAACTGCAAGGGTGCGTTTGCGCTGAGCTGGGCGCTGCGAGGCATTGAGGGGGCTCACAAGACGCTTGTCTTCGGTCAGTAGCACGGCTACTCCGGCGTCGACCTTTCCGACTGTGAGAGAGACGAGCATTTTGTGTCAAAGTGTCTGAGGTTGTCGAACTACAGGAACGTACGTGTATTGTTTGGTACAGCTGAGCCGCGTACCTGACCATCATTGGCGCGGCCCGAAGAATCGCCGTGGGCTTTTGGCGCTAGCCCTCACGCTCCCGGCCTCTACACTCTCTGCCTCCTGCGGCTCAACCACGATATGTCATGCAATGTAGCCTGTAAACCTTCTCCAAAGAAAAAAAAGAGAACTCGAATCTCCTCGTCCAAACTACCGAGTACCTGCGAATCATTACTTAGTTGGAAGTCTGTTCCTGCTATGTTCAAATTCAGTCGTTCGAGGTTTGTCTGGGCGTCATGTCTCTAGTGATCAACAGCCTGTTACTTTTGCCTTGCATAATTTACCAACTATCGACCACTGGAGAATATAGAACAATCAGCCGGCATCTGCACAGGAGTGGACTTGGCTACAACTATCATGTAGCATACGAGTGCTGCTAGGGGAAATTTTCCAAATCCAGAGTTGACGACAAGACCAAAAGTGTACGACTAAACATTTCCAACTGGTGTGTGCATTGCTCAAGGAGAGACTCTATGCGACCGCAATGCCGGGAGAGATGTATCAAAGATGGCTGTTGAGCACTCTCTCGCAACTGGTCCAACAAAAGGGTACCATGGTAAGCAAGAGCACTGTGGCTGGCTGCTAGCGTGTTTGCCGGTGTCAATGCTTTGTCCTCAACCGTCACGATTCAGTTCACATGTTTGCATTTTCACAGCACAACTCATTCCGAGAAACTCGGAATTCCGCATCTAGCAACTCGCGATCAGTGACGTCATCACGCACACTGGACCTAGCGCCAGAGGCTAGGCGTGGTCTTCAGGACATGCATCGGTGCGGGTATGCCCATGGTTGTCGGTGGTACATCACGTGAATTGGCGTCTGGAGCGTAGAACGCGATGCGCATGTCGACTGTCCTCAACTGTGCTGCATGCCGCGGAAGCAGGGACACGACCGCGTTCAGAATGGCATACTGGTGCCATGCGAATCGCAATGCCGGGGTCCGCTGTCACAGCTCCATACCCCAGAAGGCCTCCGAGGCTGGCCAGTTGGGATCGGCGATGGCACAGTGGGGAGGCCCGGAGACTAACGTCTTTATCGTGGTTGCTTGTTCCAAGCGCGTTCAACACTTTGACGCAGAGATTTTGGAGGCGGCTCAACAGAAGGCCGACACGTGTAGCCGACGCTGCTGCCGCCATGGGCATGGGCATTTCCAAGCTTCTGGCCAATTCCTTGCGGCGCGTTTGACATGGGATTGAAACCTGACCGAGCAGGGCGTTAGACTAGAGTGGGCTTAGGTCAGCCGTTCGCGATAAGTCCCGCGATGCACGGTTGCCGTCCTATGATGCATCGCGAGTTCCTGCGTCGACGGCTTGTGGTAGCTACGACCAAGACACGAGCCCTGCCAGAAACCTTCCCGTCATTCAGTCTCTTCCTCTGCGCATCTTCTCCAAACATTGGACTTCCTCTCCAAACACCTCATCTGGTATACATTACCCCACCCACCTCTTCTCCACTATCTCGATCGTCTGATTACCCCATTGTTTTCTCCATACTGCCTGCAGGAAATAATTCCCTCGACACCGCTCCACGCGCCGTCGCCTAAACCTCGCCCACTTCTCGCAAGTAGCACCCCTCCTACACCACTCCGACACACATTGTCACGATGGTTCTCATTGAGAATCAAGAATACCTCTGCGAAGAGGAGAAGCGTCTGAAGCAGGACCGGGAACGCACCGCTTACTGGAAGCGATGGGGTCCCTACGTTGCCGAGAGGCAGTGGGCAACTGGTCAGTCTTCTTAATCAACATGCTCGAGTCAATCTAATCTGTACACAGTCCGCGAAGATTACTCGTGAGTACCCTTGCTGCCACCGCCATTGTCTGCTACTAACCAATTTCTCTAGCCCTGATGGAGATGCCTGGAGCCGTAAGTACGCTTGACCGACACAATCCCCAGCTACTAATGCTATACAGATTTCACGCACGACATGGCACGGTCGCGCGCCTTCCGCTGGGGCGAAGACGGCATTGCTGGTGTGTCCGACTCGCACGGTTTCCAGAACATTGCCTTTGCTTTCTGGAATGAGAAGGAGTAAGCGTGCAGCATGCAGTATGTGAAATGTATACTAACTTCTCTGCAGTGACTTCCTGAAGGAGCGCCTTTTCGGTCTCTCGAACCCCCAGGGTAACCACGGCGAGTCGCTCAAGGAGTGTCATTTCCATCTGGACAACACACCAACTGTAAGTTGGAATGGCTCATCTTCTATATGCTGCTAACTCCGCTCGCAGCACTCGTACATGAAGTTCCTCTACAAACTCCCTCAGCGAAAATTCCCATACGAAGACCTCATCGAGACGAATGGAAAACGAACGCGATTGGACAAGGAGTACAACCTCGTCGACACCGGCATCTTCGATGACGATCGGTATTGGGATATCTTCATTGAAACTGCAAAGGAGGCAGACGATCCCGAGGAGTTGTGCTTCCGAGTCACGGCTTACAACCGGGGACCAGAACCAGCGCCGCTGCATATTGTACCTCACTGTTGGTTCAGGAACACCTGGGCATGGGGTCATGAGGACGAGAAGCTGAAACCCTCCATCACCAAGATTGGTCCAACAACGGCGCAGTCAAAACATCACAAGCTAGGGGACCGCTACTTCCAGCTTTCACCGTCCCCTGGCACCGGCCCAAGTGGCGAGGATGTTCAGCCTGAACTTCTCTTCACCGACAACGATACCAACTACAAGGGGCTATGGAATGTTGAGAACAAAGTTCCGTTTGTCAAAGACGGAATCCATCGCCGCATCGTAGATGAGCAGCTGGACGCTGTCAACCCTGAGAACACTGGCACCAAGTGTGGCGCCTGGTACGCTTTTGATGAAGGCGATGGTGTCCCGCCAGGCGAGTGCGCTGTTGTCCGCTTCAGACTGTCGAAGAGAAACGACGGGTTCCTTGACGAAGAAATGTTTGACGACATCATCGAACAGCGCCGCGCTGAGGCCGATGAGTTCTACTACAGAATAAGCCCCCTTCCAATTGCTGACGATCTGCGCAACATTCAGCGTCAAGCCTTTTCCGGTATGATGTGGTGCAAGCAATATTACCACTTCATCTGGGACCAGTGGGCGAATGGTGACCCTGGCATGCCTCCTCCACCACCTGGTCGGAAGGCTATACGAAACAACGAATGGAAGCACATGTACTTGGACGATATCCTTTCTATGCCCGACTCTTGGGAGTATCCCTTCTTCGCGGCCTGGGACAGCGCATTCCACTGCATTACACTTGCCATGATCGACCCAGACTTCGCCAAGAAGCAGCTGGACCTCTTCACACGCGAATGGTACATGCACCCGAACGGACAATTGCCAGCATACGAATGGAATTTTGGCGACGTGAACCCTCCAGTACACGCCTGGTCGCTTTTCAGGGTGTTCAAGATCGAGCGCAAGATGTACGGACGCGAGGACTTTGACTGCCTCGAGCGCGTGTTCCAGAAGCTATTGCTAAACTTCACCTGGTGGGTCAACCGGAAAGATGCTGACGGAAAGAACATTTTTGAAGGTGGCTTCCTGGGTCTCGACAACATTGGTCTCTTCAATCGTTCGGATCCTTTACCGACTGGTGGTGTCCTGGAACAGGCTGACAGTACTGGCTGGATGGGCTTCTATTGTTTGAACATGTTGAACATTTGCCTCGAGCTTGCCAAGCGACGACGCATCTACGAAGATATGGCCTCCAAGTTTTTCGAGCACTTTTTGATGATCAGCGATGCCATGCAGTTCCGCAGCGAGGGCGAGTCGAAACCACTGTGGAATGAGGAGGACGGTTTCTACTACGATGCCATCTCTTGGGGTGGCCCATGGTCTCACCAGATGCCTGTCCGTTCTCTGGTCGGTCTCATCCCTCTCTACTCAACCATGACACTGGAGCCGGAGGTTATCAACCGCCTGCCAAGTTTCAAGAAACGAGTCGAATGGTTCATAGCCAACCGCCCGGAACAATCGAAGCGCAACATCCATACGCTCTCAAAACGTGGCCAAGGAAACCGTATGCTCTTGTCACTTGTTAACGAAGACCGACTGAAGCGCATAATGAAGAGGATGTTGGACGAGGATGAGTTCTTCGCTGACCACGGTATCCGATCGCTTTCGAAATACCACAAGGACCATCCCTACTCCATGGACGTGAACGGCCAAAAGTACGAAGTTGCTTACCTTCCCGGTGACTCGGACAGCGGACTTTTTGGTGGCAACAGCAACTGGCGAGGTCCTATTTGGCTAGCCGTCAACTTCCTACTAATAGAATCTTGTCAGAGATTCCATCTCTACTATGGCAACGATCTGAAGGTAGAGTGCCCTACTGGGTCGGGTGACTACATGCATCTCGGTCACGTCGCAGAGGAGATTCAGCATCGTCTTCAGCATTTGTTTGCTCGTGGTGATGACGGTAGAAGAGCCATCAACGACGGCAACGAAATGTTGGACTTTGACCCGAACTGGAAAGACTACATGTGGTACCACGAGTTCTTCGATGGTGATACCGGCCGTGGCTTGGGAGCGACACATCAGTGCGGCTGGACCGGACTGATTGCGAAGATGATTCATGACACTGGGTAAGTTCAATCAGCATTCGTATGATACATTGACTAATAATGTGTAGTATGACTTGTCGTCTTCCACAAACGCCACGCACGCCAGGAGGTGCTGCCGACCATTACTTTGACGATGTTTTCACTACGACAGGCAAGCCAACCAAGCGTCAGGCTCTCCGCCGGTCTTCGACAAGCCGTAGCATAGGCTTCCGAAGCGACTGGGGTGAGACATCCACCAATGGCGAGGAAGACGACGTCACAAGCCCGATAAAACGCAAGAACTCTGTCGGTGTTCTGGACCAAGAGGCGCTTGAGCAGAAGTCCGCGATGGAAGATCGCCTCCATCACTATGTCAGTGGTCAGCTTCAGCGCATCAAGACAGGCATGCAGGATTATGAGCCAGATGAGTTCGAGACCATGACTGATGGCGGGTCTGACTCAAGGCCAACGACGCAGAATGGTCGTCGCAATGGACGTGGGCGCGACAAAGGTGACTACTTTGAGCAAGATCCCTATTTCAGCAAATGAGTGTCACCAGAAGGTGTTTGGGGATCTGGTTTGGAGTGATAATCATCAGCGTTACAAGTTGTTAACAGGCGAACCCTATATCCTAGACCTAGAGTAGACCTTTTCACGATACAACGACATCTTCATTCAGGCTTAAATGTGTTTCCTACGTCGTCTTCTCGCAATGGTCCTCTGAGCCCTTTGAAAAGTTATCAAACTTGACCGATGCCCAGTAATCGAGTTCGCCAGTTCGCAATCGTCTGCAATAATGCATCTGCGCATAGAAACACCCTCCATTCCCATTTCAATCAGAGAGTCTACCAGCAAGTACATCTCATCTGCAGTAGAACCGTTCAACGCTCCCAGGTGCACAGGTATCGTATGAAACTACCATCATCCTTCGGTGCATATGGTATGGTAAAGTCGAAGTCAAAATTGCGTGCCTCAACGTGTTGTTGGAGACTATGGAGTTGTAGAGGAAGCTCGACATCACTCACATGATGAACCTAACCATTTGATACCCTCATGTGATTGATTATGGTTGTATCATTCTGAGAAAGATTTCGTAACTCAGTGGTGTAGTCGAAGACGACTTTCGAAAGGGCGTTTGCCTGGCTAGCCAATCAAATCTTATCGATAAGCTTTGCTTGGTGTTTAGACGGACCCCCGTCCCCGCTGCCCAAAACAATCAACCCCAGCAATCCAACGTCATTGGCACTCCCTCTCTCTACTACCCTCTTCTTGTCGCTCGCTTAAAAGGTTATTGTATCGAGGCCTGTGCTCCTTGGTATGTACAAATGTTCGTAATACTCTCGCTATTTGACCGGCTAACCATCGGAATGCGCTACAGCCGATAGCACGCACGCGGCACCGTCGAGACATTTAGCACTATAGCACGGTTCGGGAGTCGACATGTCGGGCTTCATAAGTACCATGTTCGTCGTCCTTCTTCTCCTCTGCCAGTTTGCCCTGCGGAACGAAGTCGATGCCTTCCCCATTCGCCCCTAACTCGGGCCGCATGAACCACAGGATACGTACACATGTATCAGGCTGTCAAGAGCGGGACATTACAGACACTGGAGAATCTACAGAAGACTGGGGCTTGAGGATACCGCGGTCGAGGTCGAATGGGGCTGTGACGGCATTTGGACCTACAACTCGATCGGCAGCTGACTCGTCTCCTTCTTTAGCAACCCGCGAACTCGCGCACCGTTCAAACCGTCAAAGAACCGAGGCACCAGCAGCTGGCAGTTGAAGCAGTATGCTGAGGCTACACTTGGTAGCGGCAGTTTGAGGAAGGCCGTCAAGCTGCCTGAGGGCGAGGACAAGGATGAGTGGCTAGCCGTCAATGGTATACGGAATCGCTCGAAGTGTTGAAAGTCAGACTGACATGAGATTGCAGTTGTCGATTTCTACAACCAGATCAACTTGCTCTATGGATCTATCACTGAGTTCTGCTCCCCGCAAAGCTGTCCTGAAATGAAGGCAACCGACGAGTAAGCCTATACTAAGCTCTTGATATACGCGAAACTAACCGTCGGCAGATTCGAGTACCTCTGGCAAGACTCCGAGAATTACAAAAAGCCTACCAAGATGCCCGCACCCGAATATATCGAACACCTCATGGCATGGATACAGTCCAACGTCGACAACGAGTCTATGTTTCCCTCACGCATCGGCGTACCCTTCCCCAAGACTTTCCCTGCTCTCATCCGGAACATGTTCAAGCGTCTATACCGTGTCTATGCGCATATTTACTGCCACCATTACCCTGTCATCATTGAGTTGGGTCTGGAACCACATCTCAACACCAGCTTCAAGCACTATGTGCTATTTATTGACGAACATGGTCTGGCCAGTGGAAGCAAGGACTTCTGGGGTCCGTTGGGTGATCTGGTCGAGAGCATGCTGAGAAGTGATTGAACGTCTCCAATTGCCTCGACAAAAGTGGCAGAAAGGGACTGGAGATGAGACAAGGCTATCATGCATAAAGAGCATATCTTGACGGCGTTGAGGAGCATTTACATTTTGGCATGCACAGGAAGATATCACAAGCAAGTGCACATGTTGACGATGTATGAATAGTAGCAATGATTCGGCATAATGAGTTTCAGCTTCAATGTGCGCATGCAACTCCATTGTTCCGTCAATCGCGCTCGCGAACGCAAGCCATGCCCAGGCAGCATCTCGTATCCAGGTTGCTGAGCGTTTGACGTCTCATGGAAGTGGGTTTTGTCTGCGAACATATAGTGGGGCAGAGTTCGTGTATCGGAGACTTGGCGGATAGTAGACATGGTAGCCGTTCATGCCTCCCTTCTCAACCAAACAGCCGCTCCATACTTGTATCCACGCATATCGGTCCTTTCCCAATTGCGAAACTGCAAACATCCTCTAGCAATGTTGGCGATGGCGATTGCTATATGACAAACGCACTATTACGCATGGTCGTACTACGATGCTGACGACGTTCATTCAGCCGGAACAATGCTGGCACCTGTTCACAAACCAACCCTGCGAAGCATGCATTGTCTGCTCGAGTCTGGCCTCTGGTAGCAATATTGGAAATGCAACCAATCGGGTACGGCACTTCCATTTGCAGCTACGGCCTTCGACCCCTTCGAGATCCACGTGCTCAGCGTGCGCGGACTTTTGCCAGCCTTCAAGGTTGCGTCACACGGCGGTGTGAACGGTTGCAGCTGAAGAAGCGGAGAAGTTCGTTTTGAACGGTCGCGAGAATAGCCGAGATGAGCACTGGATGGGGGCAGGGCGGAGCGTGAGACATTGGGCAAACCTTACAGTCAACACAAAAGGGAACGCGGAGCAACGCACTGGGCGACCCCAGCTTTGCACAATTCTCGGTTTGTCGCATCCTTTCCGGCATGCATGTAGACGGCATTGTGAACAGACACCGCGATTACCGAATTGCGGGGAGCGATACAACGCTGCGTGGGAAGTGTGGGGAAAACGAACCACGAGGCAATGACAGGGGCGGTTGTATAAGGTAAGACAATGCAAGTTAAGGCACCGGGTAGCTTGAAAGGAAGTGGGAAGAGTGACAGCGGCTGTCTGACCTCTCAGATGCCATTACCCCGGGTACCGTTTCAGTACCCAAGCTCCGCCGACCCCTGCAAGGTGTACAGCATGATGGTTCTCGGCCTCGAGTATCAAAAGCAGTTTAATCTCTCCTTGCAGCCGGACTAAGAAGGGACCCCTCTTTTTTGGTATCCTTCAAATATCATTTCCTGGCACTGCGCGCGGATCATTCTAGCTAATAAACCATGCCATTCGGTTTCTACTTCGACTTCACATCTCTCATTCCGCAATGATGCCGCAACATCTCCGCAATATCGCCCTCACTATCGAGTTCTTCGCGGTCCTTGCGCGATGTGCACATCTCAACTACACTGGGGAGGCTGTTACAACTCGCTTCTGGGACTGTTGTAAACCGTCTTGTGGTTGGAATGGGAAGGCACAGTTCTCGAGACCGGTAGAATCGTGTACGGCCGACGACAAGCCTACGGATATCGCCGCCGGTACTGGTTGCAACGGCGGTAGTGCGTTTCAGTGCTCCAACCAGCAGCCATGGGCCATCAACGACACTCTGTCATATGGCTATGCTGGTGTCTACATCACACCAGATCTCACACATGGAGGTATCGAGGACGCCTGGTGTTGCGCATGCTATCAACTCAACTTCACCAGTGAGCCTTTGATCGGCAAGAGCATGATTGTACAAGCCTCGAATACCGCCTACGATGTAACCAACGCGAATCGGTTTTCACTTGCAGTAAGCCATTGCAATTCGGATATTATGACTACAAAGCTAATCAACTTAGGTCCCCGGTGGTAACACAACGTCAACGAATGCATGCGCCCAGCAATATGGCGTATCTCAATCTGTCTTTGGTGAAAACATGGCGGGTGTCAAATCCATTGACGACTGCCAAAATCTACCCGAAAACCTAAGAGCCGGTTGCGAATGGCGCTTTGATTGGTTCAAAGACGCATCATTTCCAAGGTAAGCATAATCTCAATCCAAAAGCTACATGACGTACATCGGCTAACTTCACATAGTGCAAACTTCAAACGCGTGGTCTGTCCTTCGGAAATTACAGCCAAGACAAACTGTATCCGTAATGACGATAAAGTGCTTGCAGGCGAGGCGTCTTCCGCTCAGAGCCTCACGCCTAGCTCTTCCACTATGGCTTTCTTCGCCGTCATCATACTAGGTTTAATATCGATATAGCGTCGGTGACGCGAGGCTTTGCATCACGTTCTTTCGTTTTCACTATCGTTACGTTGTTTCGATTCCTCTCTGTCGTTCGTCTTTGTAGGCTGACTGGCTGGAGATGTCAGATGATGGAGCTGGCTAGCCCATCTTTCATGCATGGATACCCTACCAATAAAAAGACTCGTGTCGGAAGAGACAGCATACCGCGTCCAGAACAGCACGCAGTCGTATCTCCGCGATCTTTCCAGTGTCGGAGTCACCGATTATGTTGTTATGACTTCAATCTCCTTTCTTCGTATTCTCCCTTCTCGTTCATGAGAAGGGCTCTTGTATGCTATTACGATTGTGTTATTGCATAGCGACATCTAGTGGCGTTTTTTTGCAGCTATGGAGGCAGCGCAAAACGTACGTCGAATGATAAGCCTCTTTGTACTCGCTTGAAAAACACATGTTATGGCGTGACGTTGGAGGAAGATCTCATCAGGTATACTGTTAGTGCGAAGAATCAACCAGACCGGTTGGTGGAATTGAAATGAAGGCCTTTCGCAAAGTCAAGAAACCACCCAAATCGAACCAATTGACAGAAAGCAGACCTACGATAGTCGGACCATTTGCCGCCACCGTCTGCATCCTCCTTTGTTCACATGAACTGCTCATGACACAAATCGCCACGATACTCCTCCAGGAAAACGCCCTTCCCTCCGCTATCCGAAAAAGAAAGCCGAGGAGGGATATTGTAAACGCCCTACACAACGGCACCATCCTCGACTTCCGATCGCGTTCGCCCAGTCCACTCACTCGCCCAATCCCGCTTTTCATTTAGGCAAATGACACCACCGAACAAGTTTTTCTGTATTTGAATCTTGCACATCCCCCGCCATGGGCGCGCGCACCGTACCGAGAAGAGAGATTATCCATATTGAGCCGCGGGCGCTAGGGGAAATCCGATATATTACATGGGCAACCTGTTAACGATACTAACAGACAAGTGATGAGCGAAGGCAAGAAAATGTAGCACTAGAGAAAGGCATCGAAAATTTGATTGCGAGGGGTCTTTGCCACTCAATCAGGGTTTGTGATCCGCGTTGTGCGGTGCAGTAGGATTCAAAAGAGGGTGGTGGAAGGAGGGTGTTGAGTGGAGAAGTCAACGACTTACCCCTCGCTTAGGCGCGGTGAGATCCTTTCCGTCGAATGCATTATCGCATGTGTGAGATGTGTGATTGTACGCAGAGCCGTTGACGGGCGTTCAGGTCTTAATCTTTCTTTCTTTCTTTCCTCCCAAGCTCCCTTGCTTTGCGCAAGGAGAGTCCTGCATAGGTTCTGCTATGGAGGTGACCTATATGCAGATACGTACCCAACTAGGTAGTCTTACGATCCTGCCCAAGTGGATGACCTTGCTGCTTCAAGTAAGGTTTCCGTTGGATGATAGACGAGATTTGTGAGAAGAGACCTAAACCTCCGGACTCGCGAATCCGAGGTAATGACAATCGCCAACAAAGTTCGTGCTCGGTCTTTCGTTGTTCTGGACGCGCTTGGCTGCAAGGTATCTTTACCAATGTAACAACAAAAGTGCCATACACACAAAGACCATGAACAACGTTCGTAGCGCATCACCTCACGAACGATTTCATCGTAGGCAGAAGACTACACTGGCATGGCGCGACACGAGACACGCGCTGACGCACAGGTAGCATGATCAGCAAACCACCCCTGCAGTAAGGAACGGCACGGATTGCGTCTTGACATGGTAAGTGCACTGTGACGGTTGGACCCCAGATCCATTAATGCGCACCCCTGCGGACAAACGGGCCTGAGCGCCGCGCTGGTGTGGTTGGGTGGGAGGCTTGGTCACTCTGGTGGGAAATTGAGACAACGGCATAGCGGATAGGGCGTACGGGATTCGAAAGTGGCAGATACGTACCAGATGAATGACTGCCGACATGAGTGGTCTGGGCTTGCGACGTTTTTCGGGCCATCAGTTTTGCGGATCTAGGAAAGACGGGGACACTATCCAGTATCTCACGACTTAGGAACACCATTCATGGATCTATAGAACAATATTCGAGCGCAGACGTAACGGGAGATTCGAGTTGTCAATGTTTCAATATAAATTGTTCGTCCGCTATAGGATCACTATAACCTTGGGTATGGGTATATCTCATCATCATCTTCACCATCCTCGATACCTCGTAGCCTTGCGGGCGTCAACGGCGCAATTGGGCTGAGCGTCGAGTTCGAAAACCTTATTGTTGGGGTTGTCGGACTCAGCGTCGGACTATCCATACTCTTCCACCCAGCACCCACATCTTTGCTTTCAACGAGCGTCGGCGCGGACCCCAAACTACCCACACTCCGAACCGTTTCTAACAGGTCACCCTTCTCGCAGGAATCGGCCGTCTCATACCGATCCAAGCTATTTCTTCGCGATCTTGGAAAGTAACTTCGTTTCTGATGCCGTAATTCGCCTGTGGTGACGACTCGAGGCGGGAAGTCTTGTCGACATTCCCCTCGAATGCTGACGTCGCCCTTTGACCGCGTAGCCAGGCTACTTGAGAAGTCGTCCTGTATACAGGGGAGAATCTTCTGTACCACACGATTCTTTCTTGTGTAACGGCTGATGTCTGAAGAGCTTGATCTGTTCGAATGTTGCCAATCACCACGAAACTCGCGTTCCATGGGCGTCGCTTTGGTTCGGAAGTTGAAAATCCATCGTGTAACGAGACCGCGGAGAATTGGTATGTTGGCTACGATGATGGCTACGTTGTTCTCGATGTGGTTGATACAGTAGTCGATTGGATATGTCCAGTCAGGGTTGAACAATGTGTAAAGTCGGTCGCGGTACGAAAGGTAGATTTTTGCAGCACCGATTGCAGTAACACTGTAGAAAAGTTAGTCGATCTGTTCAAGCAGCATATAGATAAGGCGTACGCAAGACTGCAGGTAAAGACTACCAGTACAACCAGGCGGGATCTTAGTCGAGCGCTCATCATCCTTCGCACGATGATGAAAGGTATCGGAAGGATAAGAACATCGGTGAGCAGATTTGCGCAAGTGACCCAGATTAACATCTCGCCCATTTTGTGTCTGCCCATGCAGTGCAACCCTCCGAAAGTTCTTGGTTTCCAGGTATTGCCTGTTAAAGGGGGACAAATGAATATGTAGAGGAACCATGGTATCAGGGCACTGCCAACGGTGAAGACCAAGATGGCGTAGAGTACCCGCTTGAGCCATTCGATGACGGAACCAGCTCGAAGGAGGAGAAGTATGATGGATGCTTTGACTAGCGGTAGTATAGGGATATTCAAGAGATTGAATGCCATGACAACCTGTAGTAGTCAGTAAAAACAATCTAGCATGCTGAAGCGGTACCTACAGCATAATACTCGTCATAGTTTGGTTCTATCTCATCGACTGGTACCTGCCAGATGTGTACACCCACGTGCCACATCTTTACATCTATTCAGAGTCAGTGAGACTGAACATCAACGCTCATTCTAGTACTTACGTCGATGTGACGGCCCTATGAGGGCTATTGATAGCAGCAACGGAAGTATGATGAGCCAGTCATCTGTTCGAATGCGTTAATATCGTTCACTTAAGACACATCGACTATCATACCCCAGCTCAACCGTAGGTTCAGTTTCCGCCGCGTATATATCCTCAGGATGACGAATATCGATGCCAGGAGGGGTGTGCCGTAGATGACCCCCAGACAGGTGAGTTGGAGAGGATAGGTAGGCATCTCGACGACCTACTGTCAGGAACCTGAAGAAATCGCGAAAACCACATCTCGCGCTGCTTGTGGGTGGGCAATCTCATATAAACCTGGAAACAGGGTCGGTCAAGGGCAGCGCAACCCTTGTTCACTTGTGCGCGCCCGAGGCAGGCACAGCCGGTCGTCTCTAAATGTCCCCCGCAATTCGCATATTAACACTTACAGAAACGAGTTAAGCAGAGGCCCTTCTACTTGCCCCACGGTCTAGTCTTCCGTCGGTCACACTCACGTGGATCTGATTGATAGCTACACTATACACCTGCCACTCAAAAGGCTTGGTGTCGCTATGGAAGCCGGTCGTATTCCATGGTGCGACAAACATGACATCCCTCCTCCCGTCTACCTTGACGAATTCTCTTACATGAACAGTGAACCACATACGAGTTGGCTGGTTTCCGACGCCTCGGGAATTGTGCAGCCGGACGGTATCAGAGTGGGCTCTTCCGCGATTCGGCTCGTGGCTGTCAGAGACGCGAGAAGTGGGTGTTGTGCAGGCGCCAATTGTTCTCACGCAACCTGGGGCCCACCAGCGCTAGTACGGAGGACTTGGTGTAACGTATTCTTCCTGGAACCTGGACCGATCACAGCGTGTCGAGTAGCCGATCCCTGTTGTGAGCGAATCTGGGGCCGCCGCTTAAAGTGCATGGCCCAATGAAGGGCGGCGCACATAGTAAATGCGACGCAGCGGACAGCACATAGCGTATAGATGCCCTCAAGCAAGAGGATGAGATATGGGAACGGCGCAATTTGGCAATATGCCTTCGGAGCTAAAAGGATTCGTAGTGGGTCACGCCGTGAATGCGTGGAGATTCCAGGAGCTTAGGCCTGCTCAACAGGTATCACGTTCCGGGGATGTTTCGAGAAGACACATTTGGGTAACGTGCCCTCGATGCGACGGCGGAAACTACTCGGCCCAAGACCGTTTCAGACCGTTACACTGACGTTCCCATGCGTGCTCATTGGAGATCGCCATATTGAACACCTTCATTTGCTATCATTGCGACAGCGGAGGTCGGACGAACAAGATCAGGAGAAACTGCCGACGATCTGTGCGTTCTTATATTGCGCCGCTGGCGGTCAGCCTGACTGTATGAGGCCATCGGCTGGCGGGGCAGCCTTTTGTTACGTTGAATCGTGAACGAAAGTGTAGAGAGTGTGATTGCGTGGTGGACCGAGGTTTTCAACTCATGGCGAGTCGAACCTGGTTAGGTTCCTCCATCGAGAGCGCGGTCATGGCATGTAAGGCCACAACACACATGCATGTGTGCCGAAGCGGACTTGGAAGAGAAAAACCTGGAATAATAGAGGACGTTGTGGGATTGTGGAGTGAAGCACGAAGAGTGCGTGGTAGAAGGTTCAAGTTCTATCTAAGGAGAGACCGTCAGATTAGCGCAATGTTAGCCATCATCGCCCGGTGGATGACATGTTTGTCGCGATGCACAAATTCAGCTTTCACAGTAGAGTACAGACGATTACAAAGCTGCACATCTGAGACGAATTTACGTGGCGGCTTAGAACTGTATCGTGTCTACACTGATGTATCTTTGGATTGGCCAGAATCAACTTTGTGATGATGAAGCGTTCTTTCAATATAAAGCTTCATATTTTAGTACCTGATTCATTCAGTATCTGCACATCAGCTTCGAATCATCAGTTGCCAGTTTGGGGCGACAACATGCCAGGAAATGTCTTTCGGTGCTACTGAGAGCTCAACGTAGGTCTCCCATTCATCGAAGACCGGCCCCAATTTTGCATTTCCAATCACTATTTCCTTCCTGATGCGAATGTCCCAATCATGTACGGTACTCCACTGGCCATCCCAACACCAGCCCCACCGAGCATGGCGTGGCCCAGCCTTAGAGGCAAGCTACCACCTCGTGCAGCGAACATAGCCCCAACAGCTCCTCCACCAGCGGCGCCAAGTGTGACCCAATCTGTCTTCACCTCTCCATCATTCTCCAGTATTCTCCATGAACGATCTTTCCATTCTATTTCCTCTCGACCCCTCATACGTCCCCAAGTCATGAGTGCACCAGCTGCTGTGCCTAAAACCAGTCCGCGACCAGTTGTTTTGAGTGTACGAGACAGTATCGTCTTGTAATCGACCGATATTTTGCGGGAACGAGCTGCAATGACGGAGATCGGAAACTGGAAAAGCGAGAAGAAGGAAAAGGACATGGCTGAAGCGCGCATGACGTGTAGGTAGAGGATGCTACGTGCATATGGCTGATCTTCGGCGTATTGTGGATGTGGGAAGAGGGATGTCATGTTGTTGTACGTTTCGCGCAACTCGTCAAAATTCGGATTCGAGGTTTGGGCCGTGGGTACAGAGTCAAACGCAGCCAAATGTGATCTTTGATGGACGGGCTTTGAGGAATGGTGTAGGCTCGTAGGGCCTCGCAACGCGCTACGAGATAAAGAGTCGATCCGAAGGAGTTTTCTAGGTATACTCTGTACAGATTGTACGAGAGCGACACAATTTATCTACATGTATGTGAGCATTCTCGCTATCCTTGCGCCCCGGTGCAAAGTTGAAGTCGGAGATAAAACGAAGCCGGTCGCGATAAGTTTCGGCCGCAAGTAACATTGCTGCCTGCTGTCTCTTTACGATAAACTTGACTGGCTGTCAGACGATGGCAGTTTTCTACCAATGATGTTCCGGTAAGCGCTGCGCTCGCATTCCGTGGCTTGCGGTTTTCTCAGGCGTCCTGCGCGCCTGGCTCTGAAATCTCCGTCCTCCGAGTCTGCCCGTACCAAAGCAGCCTCTGTAAAGAACATTCTGCATCTTTGCATCTGTTTGCACACGACAACGTCACAATGCCCAGAGCTTTTTTTCGAAGATTCTTGGTACGACATGCGTAGGAAGAACCTTGGAAGATCGCTGTCAAGTTAACAGGGAAGTCCATGGCCAAGCCGATCGAGAGCGATTGTCTTCGCAACATTGGCAGGCTCTCGTGCAGCTGTTGCCGAAGAAACTATGCCAATGAGGCGTTCGTGATGCTTCCCCGGATAACGCCTGTGGTTCCCACATATAGGGTTGGTACTTGCTCAAAAGAGGCGGAGAAGGCGATAACAGAGCTGCGCAACAGCGATCTGACACGGACCGAATCGTGGCCATGCTTTGAATCACGAGGAGTAAGTTGGCGGTTGCGCAATGCAAGATTTCCAGAAGGCATTGCGCGTTATTGTTCCAAAGCCGCCTGACGTCATTCCGTCTGTTGATCCATAAATGCACCACTGCAGCACAGACGCTGGAGGCACTACCACCAAGCTCGCATCACCTTAGCCGGACTCTAACGAAATCTACCATCACCGGCACCTAGCAATACGAAACAAACAAAGATCCGAACCAAGATTCAACCCCAATCGTCATTATGCCCATAGGCCAACAAGAAAGCGGTGTGACCTCGGGCGTGAAGTTTGTCACGTCCACTGTAGGCAACACGGTTGGCGGCGTTACGAACACTGTGGGAGGTGTTGTTGGCGCACTTGGTCGAGGTGTTGGTGAAACGGTAAATTGAATGCCACTAACTGCATTCGAAGCATGTACTGACTTTGGGCGCCTTTGCTTAGCTTGAAGGCGCCACGGGCAGTGCCGGTCGGCCTGTTGCGAGAGGTATTTCTGATGTTTCCACAAGCATCGAAAAAGGCGCAAACGACGTAGCAGGAGGCGTGAAGCGCGCCGGAGAGGGCAAATGAGCGTCGAGCAAGGATTACGCAAGAGAAGGAGATACTGTGGCGGTCTGAGGCTGATATCATGTTGCCACTATGCCACGCCGTACAGTTGGAGGGCGGAGTGCAATACAAACAGCTACAAGATGCTGCCAGCATGTGCTTTCGCGTAATCTAGAGGTACATATCTCGCAAGGAACTTGTGACCCGACAGTATGCTGCACTAACTCTAATCGGCTCCGTAGGCATTGTGATCAGACATGTGTCCAAGACTGCGTTGCCGGAACAATGCGCCGAAGTGGTCTGCGCTTACAAGATGCGACGTCTACGAGAAGCTTTCCGGATGCTTAAGATTCCTGTAGCCGAGTACACCGAAGGTTCTCCACAGCATGACGATCCGTTCGGATGTGTCAAGCCGAAAGATTATCTTGCCATATACAGACACACGAGCATCGCACGCAGAACACAACCATGGCGCAGTCCGCAGACAACCAGCTTCTGCATCGGAGTTCCAGTCCAAGGGACACCGAAGAGAAGTAAGGAGTCCTTGCGGAGACTAAGTATAGGCTGGCGCGTCACTGTTCCATGGACTAGCTGAAGGGTCCATCCATCGTGAGATCGTGATCGCCGAGGCCGAATAACCTCACCAACACAGACCCGGTCGGCTCGGTTCGCTGTAATGCATTTGTCGCGGTGTTGGATGTACATATGCGTGTCTGCGAAAGGCAGGAGCTGTGCGGGGTCAGATGATCAAGTCCGCTTTCGTCACTCGCTGAAAAGCCTCACCGTGTCACTGACGGAGTGAGAAGCTGCAATAGGATTGACTACTGATTGTTAGTTGTCCAGTACGTGCAGAAGCTTAGCGCCACCGTTGCGGGATATAGCAACACAAAGGGCGGAGGAGTGTAAATCCGTGTGACGTCAATGGTACGTCTGACATGCGCGTCCCATCTCAGGTACGTTCGACCATTGCAACGTCTGCATCTACACATCGTAGCCAAGCGTAGTCTTGGTGTTTCGAAATGCCATGTTTTCATCGCACAGTATTCGCACCAAGTCGACCAGTCTTGTTCAGCGATCTAAGCGGCTTCTGGGGTTAACCCGCCAACAAAGGCAAATGCGCCAGCCAGCGTACCAGCCAGCCAGACAGCAAGCGGCACACTATCGGTATGCAACCGCAAGGCCAGCGTACCAGCCTCCCCCAGCCCGTCTTAAGCGTTCCCAAGCAACGGTTCCACTGGAGACGGTGGATGGGGCGGCTGAACACACTTGAGAAAGCGAAAGCCACATGTACCCCACAAGTGCTGCGCTAGTGCACGTAAGCGTCATGCCGGATTGGGAACCAATCTTTGACATCACTTAGGCATTTATCGCCTCGACACCAATCCCATCCAACACCATCCTTGCATTTTGCCTCTCAATAGTCCGATTGAGCGAGCTACATCCTCACCACACACCACCCTGCAGATCCTCGCGCATGACTGCCAATGAGACAAAATGAAGTGATGAATAACGACGCCCCGCCACACTCCGCCTTGAGGCCTACGGAACGCACGCATATTGCCCTAGGTCAGACGCTAGGATGCACCGCGGAGCGATCGTCCTAAGCCTGCTGATACGAGACTTCGGTTCAGCACCTGTCTTGGATGTTGCATATCGCGGAAAAAGCTCAACACATTCGAGATTTGCAATACCCAGAATCTCACCGGTCGTGATTACGAGCAGGTCATATCAATTGGACAGGCAGTAACTATTCATCCACAGCTTCCAAATCAATGGCTGCAATTGCGTCCCGAAGTTAATCGAGGGCTGGGAATGAGATATGTTTAGACGAGAGGCGGGACGGGCTTTGTTCACGCGCATTCCCAGAGAGATGGTGGGGAACTAAATGAGGGGTCGGATGAATGGGTATCCAATGACACAGTAGATGGCTCCGCAGCGTTTATCGTTACGGCATGAACGAGCCTACTCCAGCCTTCTTTTACTGCCGTCAGAAGCGTCAACGCTAGGCTGCTGTAGTTTTGCATTGACGCGTGGAGTTGATCCATGGCCTTGGCTCGAGCGCTGAGGCTTCTGTCCATGTCCGATCCGCGATGGTATGCTCGATGAGGTAGATTGAATAGACTAACAACTCGGCTGGGTATTGCTATATAGCTGTCTTACCATCCCGCGTTTCTACATACCCAGAACATCACACACTCTCGTTGTCGTGAATACCAGCATCAACAGTCTTGCTTACTTGTATATTTGAAGTGACTGATACCTCGTTCATCAGTCTCCTCCGCGTCGTTACTTACTCTCGCTGTCAAGTACGCCCAATACACTAATACCGACAAAACCACTTCCGAAAATGAAGTCCTTCGTTGCTGCTGGCCTCGTGGCCGCTGTTGCTGCCTACCCTCAGGCCTCTTCCGATGGTGGGTGTGCGTCCTCCGCTGACGGCACCTTTGCCATCACCACCGTCAATGCCACCCAATCTGCCACTAGGCGCAGCATCGAGAGGCGTCAGCTTGATGGCACACTCAAGCTGTCCCTTGAGGACGGAAAGTTGACCGACCAGGCCGGCCGCACCGGTTACATCGCCGCCAACTACCAGTATGTCTTGCATAACACTTGTATACATTCAATAGATACTAACGTCCCATCAGGTTCCAGTTCGATGCTCCTGTCCAAGAGGGTGCCCGCGAGACTTCAGGCTTCGGTCTCTGCAGCAACGGATCCATGTCCCTGATGGGCTCCACTGTCTTCTACCAGTGCTTGTCTGGCGACTTCTACAACCTGTACAGCCAGTCCACTGGTGCCCAGTGCATTCCCATCCATATCCAGGCTACCATGTCTGCAGACACTAGCGGAGTCTCTCAGATCTCTGACGGCCAGCCCCAGGCTACTTCCGCCGCTGTTACCCAAATCTCTGACGGTCAACCCCAAGCCTCAACCCCCGGTCCCGTCGTGACCCAGATCTCTGACGGTCAGCCTCAGGCCTCTAAGCCTGTGGTCACCCAGATTTCCGATGGCCAGCCCCAGGCTTCCGCCCCGGTTGTCACCCAGATTTCTGACGGCCAGCCTCAGGCTTCCGCTCCTGTCGTCACTCAAATCTCTGACGGTCAGCCCCAGGCTTCTGCTCCTCTCGTTACTCAGATCTCGGACGGCCAGCCCCAAGCATCTGCTCCCGCGAGCAACGTCAGCGGCAACGCTACCAGCCCCCCCTTCTCCGAGTACACCGGTGCTGCCGCCACTGGCGCTGCCAGTGTTGGTGCTCTCGCTGCCGGTTTCTTCGCCCTTTTCTCCCTCTTGTAAGGGAATTCAGCTTGAGTTTACTCGCACCAAACAGGGATTCAGGTCGCTCTGACGATCATGTAATGAAGGTTCTAATGGAGGATGATACGATTTCCTTGCGACGTTCCTTGATGACTGCATGCATATATGACATCCATGTACATACCTAAAGCATAGGAGGAATGGTGTTTGGATGATTGTGTTCGAGAAAAAGGCCATGACTTTAGCTAGTTCTATAGGTAGTACAGCACCACCATGCGACGAAGATATTAATGCAACCCGATCATAATAACATACGAACTTGCTATCTTGTGTCATATCCCCTCAGCAGGTCAAAGTCTTGTGCGCCTGCATCCCATGTCGTGAATTGTTGTTTACAATCCTTCGATGCCTTTCATCTCGGTCCCTCGCAAGCCATTGCGGTCATTCGAGCGAAACAATCCAACGGAATGCACTCTGCGCAACGCCGCAAACATGCATTCGCTGCTTCAACATCCTAACCACTGTCTTACCTATCTCACCTTATGCTGTTACATCAAGGGTTGTATCCTGGAGTACACTGTTCGATTGCCCATATATGCACCCACCAGGTGCAGTTTCGTGTATATATTTCTGTTCTTATCCCTACAGAGTAAATACTCGATTTACGGCGAAGAAGACATCGTCTCTAGGTTATTATTATTAAAGAGATAAGTGGTATTCAAGCAGTAGCTGACTATGAAATCAACTTCACGTCATGTCCAATCCATCGATTATTTTCCCTTCCATCTGAAAAGCCATAACTATTCAACTAAAACAACAAGTGAAAATCTCCTAACCACCGTCAAACAAACAACCCATTGCCGTTGAGCAAAAGGAAATATCAAGACCAACGTCGTCAACATCCACCCTGCATGCGCTCTCTGTCCCTGCTTCCCTGGAACCATTAGCACACAGCCCATCTGACAGCTCACTCCGACAGCCACTAATCGCCTAAACAATGTGTCGAACAAACAAAGATTAGGTTTCATGTCGCGTTATCGATTGACACGCATGCATAAACTAGATTCGTTGGGAGCATGCGCCGTCTTGCGCACTATTTGCAAGCGTACCTAATGGAGCACTCTTTAGTCTTGTTGGAAGTATTAATAGGCTCAACATAAGGCTAGGCTCACTAGCTGTGGCGGTGCGAGATTCTGCGTACCGTCTTTCGTTTCCTTCCATCTCGCTTGGTGGCGGGTCTAGATTGAGTTTGATGGTTCAGAGTTTTGCCCAACGAACCAGTGGGTGATTGTTGCAAGTACCGAGCCGAGGTCGCAAAAGATTTGTAGAGTGAAAGTGAGGTCATTTCCTTGGGTCGCTACGGTGCTGTTGCGCTTGCGCCCTTTGGCTGAGACTCATGCTCTATCAAGACTACCTCCTCGCAGCTTCAGATTCATTTCTGCACGTTCAGGGAGTGCGATTTTGGCGTCTTGCCTGTTCGCTCATCGCTTCATCGGTCCTATTACCCAAGATCTGCTTATCCTCGAAGCCGTACGCAACCGGACGATCGTACAGATATGCACGTTTCTTTTGAAAACCAGCTCGTATACCAATCTGAATGTTGCTCTGAAGGTTGTAAATCAACCAGTTCGCTCGCACCTGCGATCACCAAGTATAAGAGAGTGGATGTATCCGTCATACATCACTCCAGTCAGCCTTCTCGTCTGTAAGGAAATCATTCCTTCGACACACCTCACTCACCTTGTACTATCTTCTCTTCACTCAAAGGACCAGAGGAAGAGTTGGAGAGCAGCAGGAATAGCTGTCCCTGGTGAACAGGATACTAACAGATCGGGATCCAATCCACAACTGTGCACTCGATCAGGCCTTACACAGTGTATGCCGCTGTATTTCCTGCGTTCGCTCCTAGTTGGTACGAACTCGTTTCATACGAATATCAATCTTGATACGTGCAATGCAATATTATTCCAAGAGCTAACGCCAACGCCCATAAGAGTACATCTAACATACGTTTGACAATCATGTTTTGTACTTGCATCTAGCTCGTTCCATCGAAAGAGCTAAAGTGTCACATGCTCTCCCTCTGCTTTCTGTTCTGCTTTGCGCCAAACTGACGTCCTTCTGGTTACTGGAAGTTTGCGCCTAGACGTACTGGCTCAACCACCTAATACCCTCTCCGTAACCTTGCCTCATGACCACACTGCACATGAAGACCTCAACCGGTCGGATACCCTCGAGTGGTACCTTGCCCTTACCCGTTGTCTGGTATAGTCCGAGCGCGGAACGGAGCTGGTCCTCAGAGATGGCGTCGGGGTGGTCAATCTTGTTTCCGAGAATGACGAAGGGGGTGTTCTTCAACTCTTCCATAGCCAGAAGAGCGTCGAGCTCTGCTTTGGATTCGGAGAGACGCTCATGGTCCTTGGCGTCAACGAGGAAGACAATACCGGAAACTTCAGGGACTAGAAGAGTGTCAGTTGTATGCAAAGAAACAGAGGAGCATAATTGGCTTACAGTAATCGCGCCAGAGTCGTCGAGCTTGTGCGTGGCCTCCAAGGTCGAAGGTTGTGAACTTGACGTTTCCTATCGAGAGCTCCTCGGAGGTGGGGTGGAGAGTCGGCTGGCTAGAACAGATGTCAGCTGACAGTTGTGAGCCAAAGACTACGTGCGACGTACAGGACAGCGACTCTGTCGTTCTTGAGCATATGTAGCAGCCTAGTTGTGTTAGTGGAAGCTCGCGTGTCCAGTAGGGCTGCCATACGTGGTCTTTCCTGCATTGTCACTGAAGCCTAGTCAGCTACGTGTGTTCGAAAGCGTTGGTATGCGAGGATACATACAGTCCAAGGAAAAGGAGTTTGGCATGCTGTGATGTTGGGTCAGCTTCGGTGATGGAGTCTAGACCATGCTCGTGCCTACCTTGTTCATGAGTCCAAGCGAGGACAGAACATCCCAAACTGTTGCACATCATTAGCCCATGTTCGAGTATGATACAAGCAAGCGATTGATCCATCTGGCTGGTATTCGTGGTACATGCGGTGGTGTAGTGTCGATGCGCCCGTGATAAGCCTAATGTCGGTAATTTCTAGCACGGTGTTGCAGGGCTTGGTCAGAAAGACACAACAGTATTATGCGGGACGACGGTGCTGTCATCAGTCTATCATGCCACGAATGTTTCCACGTCGGTCTATCCAGGTCGGGATACAACAAGAGAGGGTAGTAAACTTACACCTGGCGCAAGGTTAGTAAGACGCCAGCACAAGTAGAGGACGAGGGTGCTCACCAGTCAATGATCCACATGTTTGCGAGAAGTATTCGGGTTTAGACTGTTGGTTGAGAGTATAACAGCAAGTTGTAGAAAGTGAACGGGTAAGATCAATCAATGTTGGGGGAACTTGGCCGCGATCGAGGGCGGAAGTCGAATGGCCCGTGCGCCATTTCCTTGGCGGCGCTGTTCCGAGCTCTCGCGAAGAACTTGGACATCAACCCTCCCGAACTAAACCCACCGCATCCCCGTCTAAATCCATCACAATGGCCGTCGGAGTACGTCAGACCCCTTCCAGAAGACCCGTCGAAGCTCTCGAATGCCCCATTGCTGCGCCGGCAGTAGCCCCTCGCCCGCAATGGCACCTCCGAATTGAAGATCAAGAAAACTAACATGTCCCCTCTTGTAGCGTAGCGCAGCCCTCAAGCTCGACTGGACCAAGCTGGGCACCCAGCTCGGCCTCAAGGGTCAAACCGCTGCTGCCCTCCAGTCCTTCAAGAAGCGCAACGACGATGCGCGTCGCAAAGTCACCGTCCTCTCCGAGCAGTCCCAGACCGTCGACTTCAACCACTACCGCGGCATCCTCAAGAACCAGGCCGTTATCGACGACATCGAGAAGCAGTTCAACGCTTTCAAGCCTCAGACATACGATGTAGGAAGGCAGATCAAGGCCATTGAGGCTTTCGAGGCCCAGGCCGTCCAGAGCGCAGAGCAGACTAAGGCTGTTGTCGACAAGGAGTTGAGCGATCTCCAGAAGACCCTGAAGAACATCGAGGATGCCAGGCCATTCGCTGACCTCACCGTTGTACGTATATACGGTTACGAGCAAGTGGGGGATAAGAAGCTAACCAAACAACACAGGACGAGGTCGCCGCTGCTCAGCCTGAGATTGACAAGCGCACCGAGCAGCTCGTCTCCAAGGGTCGCTGGGCCGTTCCCGGCTACAAGGCAAGTTTATGGAACCAGCAAAATGGCCTTTGTACGAATACTAACAACCCCGCAGGAGAAGTTCGGCGATCTGTCCGTCCTCTAAGTGTCTTCTTTCCATGTAGCCAAAATGTACCCGATCTGGGTTGTATTACCTACGTATTTGTGAATAGTTCCAGAGAGTGGAAATGCACCCTAGATTTTGACCATTCGCCTTGTTATGCCTATGCATTGCTCGAATATCGCTTACATGCGAACACCTTGCAAACAATATGCTATAGTTGGCACGCCTTTCGCTTGAAATGTTGTGTTTCATTACATGTGCATCCAAAACCGCGAGATACCAGTCCTCCAAGCGATACTCGAATCACCTCGCTGTAATGCCATTTCGAAAACGCCGCCCAATGCTCATCAAACACCCTTGATCTTACACACCAAGTGACCCCACCTAAACTACTCATCGTACTCGGCATCCCTGACACCACAAAAGTCACTGCCAAGGCAGTTGTCCACCATATACCAAACCCGCCAATACAGACTCGCACTGTTCATATCGAAACTTCCGTCTTCCTTTCTCGGTACATGATCTCCTATAAAGCCCTGTCCCGAACCAATTGCCCAGCCAATGACCGGTAACGAGCCAAACGTTTGCTGCCAGCGGGGTTTCGCGGGGAGGAATGCCTTTTCTTGTGGAAGGAACACAACAGGTTTTACGTTTGCGCCTTTGAGTCGGAGGGTTGCGCGTTGAGATCGGGGGTTCAACGCTGTAGTAGTCGCGTGTGCGGGGACGGTATTTGGATCAAGAGCTTGGTGCAGTTCTCGTGGTTGAGCGGGTTCAGTGGGCATGTCGTCCATGTGACTTGGGAAAGCACCAGTGCCACTCTTGCTGCGTAGCAAGGCTGATTCCATGTTTGATCGTGGTACAAGGGTCTGCGGTGCTAAAGGTTGGGGAGCTGTTGCTGTGGCTGAGGAAGCGGTTGCGGACGACTGCGATGCGCCGCGTAGTCCCAATGTCCCTGAAGATATTGTGTTGGGTGATGCGATCTGTGACATGCCTCCCTCTACACGCAACGGTCTGTCACCACCTTGTGGTCCTGTTCCTCGGTACATCTCCGCATGTACTATGCAGCCGTGGATGTTCTTCCCACTGTAGTGACAGGCGCGCTCGGCAGCCTCCGCACTATCAAAGGTGACCTTAACCCAGTGGTTACCTCCTATATATGTCTTGATCCTTGCCATGTATTTCGGTTCCAGAGATGGGTAGTACGATGAGCGTTGCGCAGCTAAACTGTAACCGAGTCTGGGGTTGGGTGGCTCGCGGTCATATTCTTCGTAGATCATGCCATTGGAAACCTTCTCGTAATAGGCTATTGCTTCCCATTGCTGCTCAGACCCAAAGCCGTATAGTATAACCTCCTTGGGTTCTTGTGCAAAAGTAGCGTTGGTAGATGCGCCTGCAGCGAAGGAGTTGCCCAGTCCGTTGCTCGCATCTATGAGGTTTGGCGCCGAGGCTGTTGGAGGTAGTGCGGTGGACGGGCGCGCGGATACTGAGCGCCTTTTGTCTTCCTCTGCCTTGAAGCGACCGAATATGTCGTCTTCTGCGCGCTGGTTGTGGAGTCTCGCTTCGTCGGCTGCATTGTTGGCGCCCAACGGTGTCTTTGCCCGTGAGGTACCGCGTTTTCGTGCTTTGCCAAAAGGGCCCTTTTCTTCTGGAATACGCCGTTGGTTTTGATCTGAACTATCAGGGGTGGATGTTAGCTGTGTGCGCGAGAGGATGGGAGTGTCGCAGTTGTGGTCGTCCATAGTGGTGAGGCCGAATAGAGAAAGGGACAAGCTTGTGTAGATTTCCATCGACTTTTCTCTATCACCGTGCTAGACCCTTCCAGAAGAAAGATTCCATTCAGCAATGGCAATGAAAGACTGACTTACTCCGCAAACTCATACGCCCAAGGCAGCTTCCTCCCTGTCGAATCGAACGCGCGCTCAGAGTCTGGCACTGCGTGAACCTGCATCTCGGAGACGTTTGACCTGATGCTTCTTTGAGTTTTCACTTTTCGATTTGTCGCGAAAGCGCGTGGTGTAGTAATCCCGTCTTTTGTTTATGCGACGAGAAGACGAGCGGAAAGTTAGCGCTAGCCCCAGGGACGCCGCGGCAAAGCCACCTGAGGTCTGTGCATATTACATGTGGCGCTGCGCGCGATCTCCAAGGTGACGCGGAGCCTTTCCCGATCCATCTACCTTGCGTATGCTGCATGCAATCGGAAGTGGCTTACTTTTGAGTGCTGCCTGGTCACAACGGCCAGTTGTAAGCCGATGGAACTCACACCTATCATCGTACGTGGCAAGAAAAGGAGACACTTGCACCCAGCACTTGCTGCTTCTAAAAGCAAGCCTCCGTCAATATCTGCACAAAACTCTTCAGCATCTACATCTCAGCTCAAACGACAACGAAAAACGAGGTCAACAGCCAAAAAGAAAGACGTCACGCCCGCTATGCCGACACTTCAAGGCCTTCCCCAGGAGCTTCTGGAAATAATCTTCCTCTACAGCATGAACACAGCGCTTCCACGCTGCTCACCGGATCTTGGCAAAAAGCTCTCTGCTCACAAGGTAGCGATGGACTTCACTATGCAAGCCTTCTTCCACACAGTCGATCACCGCACCAACTACCGGGACCGCCTTGTAACCAGCGACGCTTTGCTTCAATCTGACATCTTGACTTGCCGTTTCTTCACCTACGACTTCTTCCTAAGATATGTGCAGCGCGCCCAGGATGCAATGATCAAGTTACGCGGCAAAGCCTGGGCAGCTACCGGAGTCACGATTCCAGGTGTTTCCTACTTCGACGGACTGTGGCCATACAAGTTTACTAAGATCCCGCATCTGGCTTTTGCGCAGGGTTTCCACGTACCGGAGAAGTTGCTACATGGACCCTGGACTGTGGACAAAGCGTCGTTGCTTTACGTACTGGTCAGTCTGAACGGAGAGATCGACTGGGAAGGTAGTATGGCAGGTGAAGCGGCAAAGGCGGGAATCAAAGAGGCTATTAAAGAGGAGAACGAGCACGCCGTGGCAGCGCTTGCTGTACTTCTGGGTGTGCCAAAAGGTCTTACCACCGAATTACTGCAGTACGCTGTCATTCGTTGCGGTTGTAACATTAACATCATCCGACACTTGCTCTTCAACGCGCAGATTCTTGCCGAAGAGGCCCCAAGCACCTTGGATTTCTATGACCCGGCACTATGGGCGTGGGCAGATGTCAACGGCCACAAAGGGGAGACGCTCAAAGACATGCTGAAGGATGCTGCCGCGTTCGACCTCGAGTTCTACTTTGAAGACAATGCCGACTGGCCCAAGATTGTCCCCTTTCCATATGGTGGAAGCAAGTTTGATGCAAGGACAGCGTTCAATGGTGTCGTTAGAGAGCTGTTGACGAACCTTTACCGGAACTATGGAAGGAAGATCACACGGAGGAGGGCTATGACGCCTGAGCAGAGAAATGCAGAAGGTGATGTAGTTGATGATTAATATTGGCAGTTTATATACGTGAAGACAGAACAGATACCCATCAAATACTGCTTACCTTTACATGAAAGGGGCAGAGCATTACAGATAAAAATCACTTGGTCAACGCTTTCCTCGCAGAGGACAAATGTCGCGGGCTACTAATACAGCAACGCCTGCTTGATTGAAGCAGTGTCGGGTCATGGTTCAACTGCCGGTGGCGCATGCTGCAGTTGGCTGCGATAGTACATGGATTTAGATAGAGAATTTACCTGCAAGCTTGTTAGTAAGTTGTATCCAACAGAGCGTTATCAAGCAGATGCGTAGTTGTGGTCTTCCTCAGTGATCTTGGTGATAAAATAGTAATCATAGAGATCATATACTATCTATTGCATGTTGTAATCATTGGAAGGGGGGTTGGGTTGCGAGGCAGAAGAGGTGGGACTGACCTGTGGAAGATGGCTGTGTGCTGCAACACTCGCATGTCAAATGCACTGAGTTTGGCGTTTAAGGATCAAGGTACTTGGAAGTCTGTAGCGGTCAGCCTTTGTCGCGAGCTTGGTGCGGTGAGAGAAGCTGGATGGGTAAAGCAAGCTCAGAATATGTAAGAAATTGAATATCATAAACTCGACGCCGTTAAGAAACCCCGGCGAGGGTCTCCGACGCCGAGCTCAATCGCAAATTATGTCATCCTAGGATGGGGAAGTATGGTGTGGAGGTTGGAGACTTACCAGTGGAGCTATGGGTGTCGGATCGAAGCTGTCGGTCTTCAGATTAGTGCATCTGAGCGGCAGGTGCAAGCGTGCATCGCATCACCATGTACGCAGCGCACAATGTAGATCAAGGCGATCGCGAGAGCCGTGTTGGAGACTGCACAAAGTCTCGCAACGGTCGTCGAGAGCAGAGAGAACAGCGTAGAGTTTGCGGTGCTGGTGAGAAGACAACGGAAGTCGCGCTCGCAGAAAACTTTAAGGACGGCGCTAGTGCCAAGGCGCCTTTCGCTTGTGCACGGCCCCGGCACCACAGGGCACGCGAAATTCGTCGCCCGATCATCAGCCATTTACTTACTCCCGACAAGAACATCAACACCGAATCCTATTTCCGACCGGTACGCACTCGACGCTGCAACACTTGACGTCTCTCGCAGTCTAACATTTAATTGCAGCACATACCGACGAAATGGGTGACGCCGAAATCACAACGAGCGCCTGGAGGCTGGTCGAGGTCGGCCGTGTGGTCCTCTTCAACGAGGGTCCATTCGAGGGCCGTCTCGCTGCCATTGTCGAGATCATTGACCACAAGCGTGTATGGAGAATCCGCGATTCGGGTGCTGTTCAGCGACTCACAGAGACATAGGTCCTCATTGATGGTCCCTCAGAGAAGGCCCCCATTCCCCGCCAGGAAGTCGCGCTCGCCAAGCTGTCTTTGACACCCATTGTCATCCCCAAGCTTCCCCGCGCCAGCGGTGTCGGCCACGTCGCGAAGAAGTGGGAGGAGCACAAGGTCCAACAAAAGTTCGACGAGAGCGCATGGGCCAAGAAGCGTGCGGCTATGCAGAAGAGGCGGGGACTGAACGACTTTGAGCGCTTCAAGGTCATGAAGATGAGGAAGCAGGTACGTTGCCCCGTGTATCTGTGCTCCCAGAATCGACGATTCGGGCTGCATGTGGCACGTTGGATGCGACGGAAGAGACGCAGGCTAACATGATGTAGGCTCGCTTCGAGGTCCAGAAGACCTTCGCCAAGATCCGCGCCAGCGCAAAGGCATAGGTAGTCTAGATGCTGTCGGGAGACAGGCGTTGCGGTGGTCGCTGCATGCAGGTGAGGGAGAGGCATGACGTGCATTTCATGAGCATTCCGAAGGCGACCTCAAAGGCATTCAAAAATTCAAGACCTGGTTTCGGGTGAATAAGTCCAATGTTTGGCACGGTGCAATTCGGTTTGGGACAGGTTTACTCGGCTCTCGCATGCATTCCACATGTAGCAAGAGAGTTCAATCCACAAATTCATGAACACACACGAAAAGTGCAACTAGAATTGCAATTTGATACCCTTCCCCCTTTGAAATGCCTGCTTGCGTGACATGGGCGACCTGAGCTTGAAAGCGCCCTGAATGAGTGATTGCCATGGTTCGTCATTGCCAGTTGTGTACTGAGAGCTGCCCGCGCTAAACCGCCCACAAATCATTTTTGGAAGCTCCGACCCCAACTCCGCGAACGTCGATATTGCAGCACCACCAACACCTGTAGTCACCCACAAACCGACAAAATGGCCAACCCCCGCATTGAAGAGCTCCCCGACGAGCCCGAGAAGAAGAACGTCCAGATCGAGGAGGATGAGTCCAGCGACGAGTCTGAGGGCGAGGAGGGCGAGGTCAGCGTGCCCGCGGGCTCCTCCGTCGCTGTCCACTCCCGCAACGAGAAGAAGGCTCGCAAGGCCATCGCCAAGCTCGGCCTGAAGCACATCGATGGCATCACACGCGTCACCCTCCGCCGACCGAAGAACGTGAGTGTTTCCCGCGCAATGGGTCGATGAAGCCGCAGCCCTCGAGTCAACAAACAAGGGCTGCGGGCAGCACCATTGGATCTTCCCAGCAACCAGACTAACACCCCTCCTAGATCCTCTTCGTCATCAACCAGCCCGACGTCTACAAGTCCCCTTCAAGCAACACCTGGATGTGAGTAGCTGCCCCTCCATCGCCCATGCCACTTTTGCTGACCCCGCACCAGCATCTTCGGTGAGGCCAAGATCGAGGACCTCAACTCCCAGGCTCAGGCTTCCGCCGCCCAGCAGCTTGCTCAGGCCGAGGCCGCATCCCACGACCACGCCGGCCACGACCACGGCGACGAGGCCAGCAAGGGCAAGGGCAAGGCTGTCGAGGACAAGAAGGACGAGGAGGAGGAGGAGGATGACGATGAGGAGATTGACGACTCTGGCCTTGAGGCCAAGGACATCGAGCTCGTCATGCAGCAGGCCAGCGTTTCGCGGAAGAAGGCCGTCAAGGCCCTCAAGGAGAACGACAACGATATCGTAAACTCCATCATGGCGCTGAGCATATAGGCTGCTCCAGTCTAGGTGTCTGGGTGTAAAAGGTGGATGATGACTTCCAAGGCATCGCGGAGTCGAAAGACTACCCGCCTGCTCATGTAAAAGAATCTATCAGCATGAATCTTTGCGAAAGATCCGTGTGGCCGTCCTTGGCCCTTTCGAAAGCTTTAGTGCCCAACGAGCTGCTATTTTGTCGACTCATGTGAGCGATTTGCGACTAACTCAAGTAGAAACTTGCCAGTTGCAAGACGTGGAAGACATTATGGGGAGTGACCAGGTAAGGACTAGCACAACTCAGCTGCAACATGTCATGTGTAAGTCATTGGATGAGAGATTGCATTTACCCCTTGAGGTCTTGACCCGTCTCCGTTGGAGAATTCCTCTTCAAGCTTAGAGCACCGGAAGTAGCTTCGAGATTGATCTGTGAATGAGGTGAGATATATCAAGCATATCTGCTAGTGGGCGATCATCAGATTCTTAACGTAACTGTATCCAGATGCGTGCACGTGGAAATTGGCTTAGGCACTCGAGACTCTTTTTGACATGGGCTGTTGGTAAGCCGATTTCAGCCTCAAGGGTCTATCCGCATGCGCGTGTCAAGAACCAGTAAGAGGCCCTACGGGAATTAGTGTCGACAAGCCCCACTGCCCAACCTCGAACGACAAAGAGCCATCGCTGAAGAATGTCCGAGACCACTAGACCTTCTACAGACCGAACAACCCGGGAGGTAGGTTCATCGTCGTGCTTATGCCTGTGGCTGATGAGATGAATGATGTAGATTCATTGCGCTCGAGGACATTGCCAAACATGGAACGCAAAGCGCCCAGTTGCTCAGCAGCGCATTGGTCAGGCATCTCTCGGAAACGAGGTTATCCGGACAGCGCTCTTGTTAGCGACTGTGAATTACATGAGGATACCAAGGTAACAGCGGTGAAGTTGGAGAAGGAACAGTGCTCAGCCACAAGCTAAAACAGCCACAACGCACGAATCCGACTGTCCCGATTCCTTGCATCATCAGCACACAGACATTTAGACGTCAGCCTCAGTCTCACAACGACTGACTCTGCTTAGCTGTTCCTGGTCCCGTTGACATATCTAGATATACGACGGGAATTCGACTTTCCGAACATGTTTCGCGGTCTCCGTTGGAATTGCGCCTGTCTGATCAACTTCACTTCACTACAACATCCAGCTCAGCTACGACGCTCTGTGTTGACCTTTAGCATAGCACTAACTCCATAGGCCGTTTCCTCCGCACTGTTAACGGCGATGATCTCGTTTTGGACGTCGTTACGGACCCACTTTTGCCCACAAGGCTGGGACGGGTCAAACACACGGCCAATGAGCGATCTTCCCATTCTCTCGGCATCAGATCTGTGGTTAGTTCCATCATGATATCCCTACGGCAGCTCCTTGACTCAGGATCGATCGGGCCGCTGGACACCCTAGCAAGTCGCATAGCCCTGATATACGACCCATAATCTGACTACATCATTGTTGTTTGATCTGTCGCAGACCATATGATGCAAGGTGACCAGCCTATCGGAAATGCGGTACTCTTTTTGTAAGATCCATTGCAAAGGCATGGAGACACCCATAAGGACGAGGCTGATCAAATTTGCCCTTGTAGGATCCAGAATCTTACTTGATGCTTCCACATTTGATCACATCCAGCTGTCTTTCTACGCTCGGCACTGACATCTTGAACTCCCATGAGTCCATCATGACGATATGGCGTCCAAAGCTGACCTTCTCAGAGTTTCTGATTGCACGGAATCTTGGCTGCTGGCTCCTGAGCTGCCTCATGACATGCACATATTCGGTGTGTCTGGACTAATCACTACGAGAGTCGTATGCTACAGCCATATCAGCAATGGGGGATATCTATATAACTTTTTGAATATCTTCTACTAACTGATGGACTCATCGCAACAAACAGCTTCTTTCACTCTTCCGCATACATAAACTTCAGCGCTACCTGTTCAGTCAAGTACAGCTTCTCAACCACCGATACATGTTGATTCGCTCTACATCCACCACCGACACCGAGCATAGTGAATACAGCAATCCACCAGTACGCAGATACAGAGTACCAGAGTTCGCCAACATGTCTTCTTCTACCAGGAAGATCACTCCCGTATGTTTCTATTTGCCGTATAGATTTCGACCTCAGTAATGCTGACACTGTGTCACGATAGGCCGAAAAGGCACAATACATTCGAGCACTACGATCTCATCAGTTCAACACTATAGTCGAATTGATCCGCGTTGAGCAGGCGTTTGCGAAGCTTGGTACACCAGATTGCAGTGAACCCATGACATCGGCTTGTAAGAGTCTACGGCTCCAGCGAACTTGTGAAAGAAGACTGACAGCACTCATCAGGGAGATACTACGTCGAATCGCACAGCTTGTTGACCGAGCTCCGCGGACTGACGAAGAACTACCCATTCAGGTAAGCTACCCTCGATAAGTTTCAACAATGCGTAAGGGGATCTTCTAGTCCATTGGCTGATCAATACAAAGTTCCGATGCCCTGGACGAAGCCAAGAGGCGTGTCTACGCCGATCCTGCAAGTAACCGCTCGTGGAATCTGTGTTGGTTGGTTCTGAACAAGATACAGACTGAGTACGTCTGACGACCAGCATTATCTTACGGAAGTCCTCGCTAATGTAACTCAGCCAACTCCTTCCGTATTATGCGCATTATCAGGCATCGCAGCCTGCCATGTGGGCAGGTCGTACGCCTTCTGCTGAGCAGATCACTCAGCTCACCAATGCGTTCGTCAACGAATGGAACTGGGCTCTTGGCCAAATGTTGGGTCGTTGGACGCAGCCACCGGCTAGGTGATTATGAGGAGTGATTGGCTTGATGTTTTCTTGGTGATGGCGTTGATCGCTATCTTGTTCTTCTTGAACCCGTGGCGGCTTTCTACTGTTTGTACACTCGTTTGTATCCTGGCGCTATAGATCTCTTCAAATGTTATTTTTTCTGCATGACATGTCTAGAACTTCTCACAAGCGGGCCTCATGTCCAGCTCGTGGGTCCACAAGCAGGGCTTCTGCGAATGCAACCAAAGGTAAGTCTCACCAACCGCATCAGCGCTCATCTTCTTGCCCACCTTTTGATCCTCCCCGTCCTCGTCGACAATTGCGCCATTTCCAATCGTATGTACGACATGTACGCCCTTCTCACTCATCTCGCGAGCCAGTGTTTGCGCTAGTTGACGGACGGATGCGCGACCAGCACCATACGCAGCGAATTGTGCACTACATCGGAGCGCACCAAGAGTGCCGGTGAAGATGAGCGTCTGTTGTACACCGTTAGTTTCACGCTCGATCACATCGTAGCGGAGGCCATGCTTACCCCTTTCTTCTCCCCTCCATCCATCAAGCCCACCTCTCCATGATCGGCAAAGAATCTCTTCAGACTTTCCTGCGCAAACGTGAAAGCTCCACCAACATACGTTTCTAAACTTTCCTCAAATTCTTCCCTTGTCTCTTCCAAGAACGGCTTCTTGCTCGAATGCTTGATACTGTATATCGCTAGCTTCAGCTTTAGGCCCTTGAAGCTCTCGTGTGCTTTGATATCTGCGAATACCTTCTCTAGAGATGCCTTTGAGGTGTCGCTCGGGAATGCTTCGAGCACCGCGTTCTCGTTGGTGGAGCGGACTTTGGAAATGACAGTCTGCAGGTTCTCTGGGCGTCGGGCTAGGAGCGCTACGGCGAGGTTACCATGTTTAGGAGATGACAGGATTCGTGCAATTCCCGTGCCCTAGGTCTGTGGCATTAGAGTCACGTATATGCTGTTACGTTCGCCGGACAACTTACAGTAGCAGGGCCGGCTCCAATGAGAATGGCGAGACCTGAGGGTGACATTGTGAAGTTGTTTTCAAGATTCACAAAATGGTCTTGCTTAGGGGCCTCGCTGCTGTTGTTCTGTTGACCAAGGCTTGATCCCCGTTGATTGCATCATGACTGGCTATGGCGGTAGTGACGTCTACAGTGAAGATCGCTTGCTATCTCCGGAATGTCCTGATCTGGTGTTGCCGCAGAACGCGTTTCAATTTCAGTGCTACGATTGACTGATACAGATATGAAAACATAAATACACACTTACCTGGGTAAACATGCTTTACCGAATCTACAGTATCTGTATATCCTCAAGTTGTCACATTTGCGAAGTTACTATTAGGGTCTTTGGCAAAGAGAGCAGGAGTTATGACGTCATCCGACATCCTTCAAGACAGAGAACACAGAATCGCTCGAGTACCTCACAAAGTTCTAGCGACCGCACTAAGTTACTTCGTAGAGAAATTCAGGTAATAGAATCGATTCCGAAAGGTGAGATTGGAGCTGGGTCTCGACTGCCCGGGCAGCAGACAGATTTTTCGTTACGAATTCCCTTTCCTTCTCCAGTCTCCAAGCAAGCCTTCCGGGGGTTCGGTCTCGCACGTTGTGATACTAGCATACTGGTCTTGGGGGGAAATGCGTGTGCTAGTACGCGTACAACGAAATTGGTAGGGTTCAGGCCAGTAGAATCCTACATCAACTTAACCTAAATTCGCCGTACATCCGAAGTCCCCTTTGTTCCTCACACCCCCTCATTCCTCTTTTGAAGTTCCAGTGCGGTCCAGACCTTCGCATACCCACATCAAGTCTCCAGATATGAGGATAGCTTCCCAGTCACGATATCATGTGTAGTCCTACATCCTGGAAAGCCGGCATGAAGCCGAAGTGGGCTATATACACCGAGGTGACGAATGCGAAATATAAGAAGAGTTATATCATCCCGGTATCAATTAAGGATAACTATGAGTAATCATGGCCTGCGTGAATCGTCTCAAGGAGTATCATGATGATCTACTATTTCAGTTGATTCAACTCTCGTGATGGAATGTCAGCTGTTTTTCTGGCTACTAACTTCTCTCACCTGAGAGATCGAGAGATGACTCGAGACCAACATCCTAGGATACTGGATAAACTTTGGTGTCGATAAGAAGGTGATAAGTCTGGTACTGCAGGTAAGAGACAGCAAAGGCAGGCGTCTGCGCCTCCCTTTTGTGATGCACCCACAGGTTGGGGCAGTTCTCCTTGTATTTATGGGTACGCGCCGGGGCTAGCATCTATAGCACTTGTGACGTGCATGAAAAGGCCATGTGCTCGGATCCCTACTAACGCTAATGGAAGGGCTGACTAGGATATCGATTGGCTGCTAAGTGCGAGCTAACAGCGGATATGAACAAGGGCGAGGTCGCTACGTCTGTAAGGAAATCTAACCTCTTTCCTAAGTCCTCCTCCTACATAGGATCGTCGATAGCCTCTTCGCAGGGGCGCAGCCCATAAACCATCACAAGAATTGCGAAAGTCTCGATCCGGCATCCCCTGTCCCCACCTCGTGTTTCACTCCAGGTTCTGCTCACCGATCAGCAACAACAAACGAGACCTCCTCATTGGAACATCATGTCGTCACGGTCGCCATATGCGCTCTTCTCCATGTCCATACAGTCGGCAGCTTTTCAAGCGAGGGCGTCGACCCGTACTGGCCCACAGACTCATGCCTATCCCTACGGGTGCTCATCCGCTAGGTTCGGTAAGATCTCCCGCATCCATAAGTACCAACGATTTACTTTCGCGAACAAAGCTGCTGCTCCTCATGTATAGACGTTGTCGGATGCTCTAGACGTAGGAACGTGTGCAGGCTGGAAGGAAATAGGAGTCACTACGAATCAAAAGAGTTAGCTCGGCGTTTGGGGCCGATATATTGAACGCCACATGTCCTGAAAATCGTTCCAATTCGTGTGCGAGATATACTTATTCGACGAAACGAATACTTCTTTCGTCCCTCATGGACCAGGGCGTCCCGTGGGTGGCTATGGTAAAGGCGTGGAAGAGCAATGCCTAACACGGCAGCGCTCGCGACCACGCGCGTTTGCATTGCCGAAAGATACAGTCTCGAGACTGGGCGAGCTTGCCCGGCGTATGCGCCACATTGTAAGCGCGCGAGCATGCTCTACTTCACCGACTACACGCTAGTAAGGCTGGGCCGAACGTCTTCTCGAGCCTGTGCCGCAATTTAGCAGTAAACCCTTGAAGCTCGCATGTATTGCAATAAACTCATAAGAACGGCGCACCAAACAATTTCGCGTAGGAGTTCATTTATGACGTCGAGCACACTCAGCTCAGCTGACGTTGCAAGCAGGCTTTCACCAATCCAAACTTCCTTCAGTGCGCGATCAACATGGTATCTAAATGCCTATGTGCTCATTCCAAGCACAGCCAGGTCTAGAGCGCCGTTAATGCTGAGCCGACGTTTATGCTACCCCGTCTATCGGTGGCATGACAGCCACCTGCGAATATAGGGTGAAATTGCCATATGGATACACACGCATCCCGATGCAGATATTGATCCGACCCCACAACGACCCACGTGTGTAATTACGGGCGTACATGTCTCCAAACTGACAGTGTGCGTTTTGCCGGATCCTCAGAAGCTGTCAGAGCCGAGCCAGGTCGATTTGAACGTTTTGCAAGCGACGAAGTTTGGATGCAAGGCTGAGTACAAAGAATCACGTCCTACTTAGAACCGAGCTAGGCGCTATAAATGGTGTGTTTCCCCAACATACGATGAGCCGACTGGCTGCACATACATGCAATAACTACGCCCATTATGAAGGATCCAGCGGATCCAGCTGATCCACCCTACAATATACGACACTAAACTGATGCGCAGTTGAAGCGTCCATACTAAGGCATGTCATGAGGCTACGGTAAAGATACCGCCCTAGTCATGCATAGTGCAGTACGCCCTTCTCCAAGCGCTCTAGCTCTTCACTACATACGTGTGACAAGCGAACGGCCCGGCAGCGGATGTGTCATATTCATATCAGGCAAAGTCGAGTCGCGTTTAGCGGTGAGCTAGATCTCGATGCGGGAGTACCTTCCACTACACATAGGTTTCCCGTTAATCGGAAATAAGAGCGGCTAGGAAACGTAGCATGCCTTGACAGTGAGCAAATAGATGCATGATTCGATCGATCGAAGGTATATAGGTCATGGCGCAATCGCCGGAGATGCTTGCTACACGTAGGCCGTATTCCTCGGAATTCGACTACTGCAACCCTGGGCCCAACAGATGCGACACTAGGATGTGTTGGCATACATAGTAGGAGGGGTGCAGACACTGTAAAAGCCGAGATACACCAATAGCAAAAGGCCACCCTCGTAAGCTGAAAGCTCGGCAGTGCATCTTTAACCAACCTGGCCAATAAGGCGCATATGTCGGCAGACCCTGAGCATTGCGCAGCTCAACGTGGTCGCAGATGGGCGGTTCCGAGGCGTTTTGCATTGGAGCTGCAGCGTGGCCCGGACCACCGCTGCCCGTATTGCCTCAGCAGCACGCTATCATACCGTCTCGTTGCAGAGAGATTCCGGTGAGCCACGGTCGCTGTCATGTATGGTAGTCGATATGTTGGATTGTGGGCTGTTCCTCAAGTACGGTGAAGGACCAAGGCTCAATACTGAGGTACATGAACCCTTGCCATCATTTTCGCAAATCGCGGGATTGGTCTCAGATCAGAGATTAGTGCATTCGATCACATGCTGACATGGCGCGAGTTGTGGATGGAGATAAGATCTGATGAAGATATCAGGCCTGCCCGTTTCAACCCACTTGCATATGCAGGAGCTGGGCGAATAGTGACCACTTATTATGCCTAACAACGGTAAGCTCCATGGCATAGGGCTGATGCAAATGAGGAAGTGCCTGCTCTTAATCGGCCGAGTTTCTTCAAGGGTCGCATGCACACATCGAAGTTTCCATGTGCCGCACGAACGTCTATCGAAATCAGAGCCACGTTCCGGCGGATCTTCGCATTGCTTTCTGCCACCGGGATGCCTACGCGAGCCTCGAGTACGATCCTTACAGTGGATGCTGTGGCAATCATGGGGCCACATGATTGACCCGAGGAAGGTCCTGCCAGTAAGCAAGTCCGATCATTGCGGTGGGGAAGTTGGTGGAGGCAGAAGACCCAATTTCGCCCGTGTGGCAAAGCTTCGATGCGTTCCGCTGTGTCCCCCGTGAGTGTGTAGATCCGAGTTGTAGGGTGGTTCAGTGAAGATTTTCCCACTGCCACGGCGGCTGACTGGCAGGCATTAGCGTAGATGGCATCAGGTGACGAATCACGATAAGACGGGCAGGATACACATAGGTACATGGTCACCCACCCACCGCAACCGTCAAGGTTAGCGGGAATAGTTTTCGGCCCTGTTCCCATGATCCGGCGACTAAAGTTCGATGTCAGTCTCTCGTTAGCAAGTGCGGCTCCGTCAGCTCTAAATTCACACACCGTGACAACAGCGGCGTGCGATTACGCGATAAACATCTTCAAAAGAACCCCATTCACCGAGAATGCGGTATAAGAACGCCTTCCTCAGGCTCACTCCTGAGTCACAACATTACAGCTACATCTACAGCGGACCGATACGAACATTAGAACATCCCATCTGAACCTCCCTCTACATCATTCACAGTAATCGACCAGTCAAATATGTCGTCTCCCACACTCAGCGCGAGGTCCTCTTTCGAGAGTTTGCACAGCAACTCTTCGTCCATATTCAGTTCTCCTGATAAACTTGCCCCGGCAGTGACAGGACCCATGGTATGGCAAGGGGACGAGCTGAACCCAGTCGAGTATGTAGTCCAGCTTAACGACCGCGAAATCCGGGATATCAGAGCCGCTATAATCAAGTTCAAGCGTGAGCACTACCTATTAATCATTATGAACGAATGCTGATTTACGCCTCCAGTCTCCCGGCTTCCGCGGACGAAGATAAACCAGAAAAGTTTTGATCTCGGCAACCCAGAACTGGCTAGCAAGCTCTCGTCTATCAGCAAAGAGCTTCACCACGGTAAAAACGTTGTTGTCCTCCGGGGTCTGGATAGTGCTTACCTCAATGACGAAGAGGCCGTTATTGCTTTTGCGGGCGTATGCTCATACGTCTGCCCAGAACGAGCAACCGATTCTTATGCAAACCAAACGCTGAGTCATGTTCTCGATGCCACCAAAAAAACAGTTCCAGAAGACTGCAAGAATATTGGTCTTGCAGGCTCCAAGATCACTGCTGCCATGGATTTTCACAGTGACCGCTTCTCTGGCGATGTCATCGCCCTGTATGTGCGCAACGACGGCGGTCCCAATGCTGGTGGCGAGCAATTCGTCGTGAGCTTTTCCAGGATTTACAATGAGCTTCTTGAGAAGGACCCAGAAGTTTTGGAGACGATGGCGGAGCCAAATTGGCCTTTCGAGCTAAAGCAAAAGTAAGCATGGTTTTGTCGTATCTGATGTTAAGAGAGTTTGCTAATTTACTTCAGGGATGGAGCGCCTTACCTCGAATTAGGACCTACCCTCTTTTTCTCCAAGGGCAAACCCATGTGCCAGCTAGTCAAGGCTCCACTTCTTGGTACTGATACCATCCCGCGTGACCCTAGCATGCCAAAGGTTACCCGGAAGCAGCTGCATGCAATGCACGCCGTTGAAGAGCTAGCTAGGCGCTTCTGCACTAAAGTCGACCGGAAGCAGGGCGACATCCAATTCCTCCATAACCTGTCTGTCTTGCATGCCCGTGCAGAGTACCGTGGCATTGATGGCCAGGCTAGTACCCGGCACCTTTTGCGCATGTTCCTCCGCGACTCCACAAATGCTTGGGAGAAGCCGGCTAGCTGCCGTGACAACTTTGACGACCCGTTCACTCCCGGCAGACCTCAGAGCCTCCCTGTCTTCGACACGGACCCATGGCGCAGCATCAGCGGCCGCGAAAGCCATGGCTAGATACTGCTGTAACCGCTAACTCTAGCAAGCAATTTTACCCGAAACATCCCAACAGGCTTAGTGGCAGTTGGAACGACATAGTCAATTTGGCATGCATCTTGCGACTGCAAGGCGAGGATTGGTGTGGCTTTATTGTATCCATGGTCTCTCTTTCCAGGACCTCTTTGTTAATTAGACCGACGGTAGACATACTCAGATATTCATCAGATTTGTTCCACGCCTCTCCCCATAAATTGCAACTCGTATATTGGAAGCTAGAAAATGACTCGCGATAGCCATTTCTCATGACTGGGTATCAAAAAACATGGTGGAACGACATGACACGGGCGGAACGTTACGCTCCAGCTTCCTTGAAAAGCTTTACAATCCATTCACTTGAAGTGGACCAGTGCGTTGCGGCAAACCCGGTAAGCGGCGGCTGGAAGCGATCTATGCTGGTTAACAAATGACTTGCAGTAGCGGATCTACAGTCCCAACTTACCGGGCTTATTTCGGTCAAATAGATTCGCAATGAGTGTGACATATGCGAAGCCTTCTGCATCAATATGACCTCGCTCCCGGAGTTCCTCCGGATTGTCGCGTGCTAGCTTGAAAGGCGAGTAGCCGCGGAGAATGCAACGCCAGTGATACAGCAGGACCGGGAAAGCGAATTCCCACTTCTTGATCTGAGTGGTCACTACGTTGCTGACCTGGTTCTCGATCAACTAGTGGAGTCAGACAAAGCTAAATCTGTATAACAAGCTCGCCAGACTTACTGTGCCATTTTTCGACTTGATGTAGTCTTGCGCACCATGGTGGATATACTCAAGGTTCCAGAAAATGACATAGAATGCCAGGAAAAGCTCGTACCAAGGCTTGATTCTAGGCTTGAAAATCAGTGTCGCTAGCTCCTTGACGAAAAGCTTTTCCAATTTGCGAAGATATTTTACAGCCGCGACGTCCATCTGGTGGGTTATGGCGCCTGGGAGTGGGCGATCGCAGGAGTTTCGGTCGTATGCTTCGTAGTCGCTACGGCCAAGTCTGCGATAATCGTACTCGCGTATACCAGGTATGTTTTCCGAGAATACTGAACCATACCCCTGCGAGACAACCGAGAGACACTGAAGTCGCATTGCGAGGTCAAGGGCTTTACTTCCAGTTACCCTCCGCATGCGTACCACTTCCTGATAGGTATGGTAGGCGACTTCGTCCTGCCGAATGCGAGCAAAAACCCACTCTTCAATTGCAGGTTGGAGGCTAGAGAAGTAGCGTTCATAAGCCAGTACGAGATTCGCGGTGTCGTAAATGGCGTATGCCGGCTGCTCGACAGATGGTACTTGTCCATCTCTGTTGGACCAGACAGATGTCGCTACATCGAGTGAACCGCGTGTCGGGCTGTACGGTCGAAAGGCGATACGCAGAGGCTGTGCATTGGGTATAGGACCGTAGCCAGGGAGGTTCCAGATGATCTCCATTTCGTATAGTTGACTGTTGTGTATCCAGTCGTAACCGAGGAATTCGGCTTCCTCTTGGTGCTCACGTCCGTTGCCTGTTTAACAGTGAGAATGCTTCGAGCAAGAAGCACTGCAATGACTTACACCGACGTATAAGACTTGTATCTTCGAGGTGTTCTCTGTAACACGGCTCGCGAAACGACCTTGCATGCCCTGTGATCTTCTCACACTTTTCACACGGGTCTCCTTCGTCACACTACGTCTGTCAGTCTTGTGTCTGTCCCAATAAAGAATATGCATACTCCAGATTTGTAAAATCTACAACGAACGCATATACGCTTGGTCTTGCGCATAGTATGGGTCTTCTCCCTTTGCCTTTCCTGGAGAGGGCCTTTTCGCTTGGACACCTTCAGCTTCTCCTGTCGCTCAACGAAAGATGAAGGAACCTTAGCTGCTTTCTTCTTTGGTGTTGGCCTATGCTGAGCAAGCAGTTGCGTTGCTCGATCCACATGCTCGACTGGAACCTGGTGCTGGGAGTAGAGTTCCTGTTCAGGTGGTGCTTCGGCGACGTTCCATTCTCGACGCATGTTCTGAGGCGCTTCGTAAACAGTGGGCACATTGGAAGCTTCCACGGGGTCGACTATGGGCCAGGGAATGGTAGATGAACTATGATGTCTCGTATCTGAAGCTCTGGTATTGACGACATCGCCAGCATGACCCGAATACTGCTGGTGCGCTTCCCAGGAGACATCATGGTGCAATGGAACCTGTGGGGCGTTGTTTGTGTGCAACAGAACAGCCTGTGGTTGTGAATGCGATAGTTGTGGGACTGGAGGTAGCTTCTGAGCATGATTCGAGTATGGTGGGTCTACCGTATTGGCGGGGGACTCCTGGAAGACTTAGTCGCGAACCTAGTGCAGGGCACAACATTGCTTGTGTGCACTTACTGACGAAATGCGCAGCTCGTGAAAGCGTTCCGTACTTCGAAACGCATGGTCCTGCGAGGTCAGGGGTAATGTGTGCCCTAAACTTAGCGCTGGCTGGTGCTGATACTGATGTTGTTGTTGCTGCTGCTGATAGTGCCGCGAAACAGTGGGAAGTTGATGCGGCACGGACGCGGTCCCCTCCGCATCGCAATAGGGGACAGTTGAGCGCGCCGTGTAATTCTGCTCTGGTCCAGCATGCTGCCATTCCAGAGGTGCTTGTCTGACGTAACCAGCCCAAGCAGTTGGCGCAGACTGTGGATGTGAACCAGCGGAGTCGACTCCGACCGGAGGGTAATGTAGGAATTGCGCCGTTGACGGGCCGGCAGCGTACGAGTCGTGGCTGGGAGCGTTATGATGTTGCTGCCATGATCCTAAGCCATACAAAGGGTCGTGATTGCTTGTGGGGAAGTCCTGGTAGTGCGAAGGAGTTTGGGTGGCATTCCTGTACTGCGAACTGGTGGTAGACATGGAGGGCTGCGGCTGACTGCGTACAACTTCAGAGGACGTGTCGCGAGGGTGCGTGTCGCTCATTCGCTTAGAGGCAATGAGCAAGATCCGTGTAGCAGGGAACGATGGCGGCCTGGACCGTAAAGCAAAGCCGACACGGTAGATCGTTGCTTTTCGAGTTCGATGGTAGGAAGGCTCGAGGAGGCACCAAAGGCAGGTCGAGAACCACACTGGTTCATTGTGTCGGTGCCATGCATGTCTTAGCTTCCGTTAGGGCTGCATCTCCCCGCAAACCTGCCTCGCGTACCGAACAGAGACACAACTTTCGTCTTGCTTCCGCAGCCAAACAGCTCGTTATCGATTATCCGGGTGCTTGTTAATCGCTGCCGCACCTTTGTTGTTGTCGTTACCGTTAATGTGTCGACCAAGTCCGCCCGTCCATCCGTATCGAGGTTCTTCGATCAGGAAAATCGCATCCGAGACAGCAAGCCTATCTATCCAACTACGGAGTTCTGTCCCATCCAATCGCCAGTACCCAACCTCAAGTAGACTACTAACCCGGCTTCAATGTCTCAGTTTGCTTTATGCACCACTGGGTGTAGTGGCAGGGCAAACCAGCTTACGGTTGTCAAAGAAACCTTGGATAGTCTTCTTTCATCCCTCGGAGTAAGCATGCTTCGGTGCGATGCCGCATTGCTTTAAACGAGCTGCGAGATTAGATTCCACCATGTATCTTCGAATCGAATACTACATTGCTTTACTGCTAGCGGGGCGTAATAATGTTTTTCCCATCTGTAGAAGGCGTACGCCTAGCCACACCAGATGACTTGGATCGCATTTCAATTGTTGCGGCTGCCGCGTTCTTTTCGTCGCCCACGTTCAAATTTCAGCGTATCCATTATCGAAAGTTCCCTTTGGACACGATAGCTTCTTACTTTGTCCAGTACAAGAAAGCTATGAAAGATCCTGCATGCGTGGTACTCGTCGCCGAAGACGTTATCGACGAACACGAATCTGAGCATGTCTACGACGCAATACGCGAGTCTTTCAAGTCGGTAGCGCTGCGACGAAGAGGCATTGTAGGAGTATGCAGTATTCAGCTCAAACCCGAATCTGCATATACCCATCAGTTCCAGCCTCCAGAGATGCTTGCTAACCTCAATGAGCGGCTGAGTGCTCATGACCTCGAAAGAGACCAAAGTATTGAAGCTGCGAATATCTATGATGCGGTCACGCGTCCGACGAAGCTCAAGTATGCATGGGCGATACATCTAAATGGAGATTGCTGACGGCGAAACAATAGACATCTTGAGGGCAGAATGCGTCTCTGCACTTTAGCAGTGGCACCTTGTTATTGGCGAAGGGGCCATGCACGAAGGCTCGTGAGCTTTTGTACACAACTAGCAGACTCTGACGATGCGATGTTGGTATGTGCGACTGGATCAAAGAGAAGGCTACTCGGTTAATAGGATCTAGGGAGTATCCGCTACGCCTTGTGGTGCCACGGTGGTCTCGAAAGCCGGATTTCAGGAACGGGATTACGTCCGCTACACACCCTTGACGACGACCCAAAAGGTGCAACAGGACAATCTGTATACTGCTGGTTTTGAGCTTTGGTGAGAACAATAGGCCTGAAATGTACGGGCAAGAGCGCTGACCCCAAGTTTGAACTGCAGGATCGGGGTGCGCTTGCCCGGCGGAAAATGTGGTACCGGAGGAGGCATCGTGACTTGTTCGGAGAGTCCGACCATCTCGAGCTCGGCATCAGCAACATCATCGGTGTGAGATCTTGGCGATCTGCAGCCACGTTGTGCAGTGGGGCCAGGGCGTAACGTGTGGTGAGGTCGATATTAGTGTCATCGGTGCGGATTATCTCGTCGGGCTTGCAGTTTCCGGTCAGGCAGGTGCGAGTAAGCTTAGTAGGGACGATGACAAAAGACTGCATAGAGAAGCTAGAGCCGAAAGGCAATCCTCATTGACGACAGACATTTCGGAAATAAATTAAACTACCTATTATACCCATTGGGCCCTCCGCGCTACTCACAGACGATGTCATGTGAGTGGGAGAAAGCTATGCTTTCTCAGCAACTATCGAATACTTGCGCGTGTGACTACAACACCGATGGAGATGCGCGCCGCGTAATCAAGCCTTGCTCTTCTTCGCTTTGGCCTTGGTTGACTTCTCCTCTTCCTCACCGTCATCTTCATCTTCGTCATACGTCTTCCTCTTCCCAGCAACCCTTGTTGACTTTCTCGTTCCCTCTGTCCTCTCCTTTGCTTCCTTCTTCGGTGCGGCTGACTTCTTGGGTTCGGCAGATTTCTCTGCTTTCTTAGCACCAGCTTTGGCACCCGTCTTCTTTGCGCCGGTGTTGGCCTTGGGCTTCTGCGCACTTGGAGGAGCCTCCTCTTCTTCTTCCTGTTGCTCCTCACCATCTTTGTTCTCCTTCTCCTCGTCATCCTCCTTCTTTCCCTCGTCTTTGTCGTCTTCTTTCGACGGCTCCTCCTCCTTTGGTTTCTCTGTCTCTTCCTTCTTATCCTCCTGTTTCTCTTCCTTTTCTTCGGCCTTCTTCTTGCCTTTAGACTTCTGTTGTGGAGCCCCCTTCTTCGGCTCGTTCTTGCTTCCAGCTTCGTTCTCGTAACCCCCACCCTTCTTTTCGTACTCTTTAGATAGCTTGCTAGCCTACATGTCGTATTAGTCTATGTACAAAGCGATGTGTTTCAACCATAAGCGGCTGCAGACTTACCTTCCATGCGCTCCATTGTCCCTTTCCACCTCCGTCCTTATTCGTCTCGTTCTTGACCTCCTCCTTCACTTTCTCCCTGAGCTTAGGATCTGTTGGTTTTCCCTTGCTAGACGGCCTGTGCAGGGGAACATTCATAGTCAGCCTAATTTCAAAATGCGTATTGTCAAACTTGATATGGATAAGTCCTGCACATGATCAAGCGTTAAAAGTCTTGCCGCAAAGTACTGGAGACCTGCTCAAACGCGCGCAAGGTCAACCACCAAAACGCGGACAATCACCATAGCAATCGCGGCCACGACACGAGAAGAAAACTACGCCTACATACATTTTGCCGGATTTGTTATTGTGATAAACCTGTCGATTTGGTTTAGGTAGCAGAGGTGAAAGTTCAATTCGTATGCAGGTAATCGTCGCGTCGCGGTCGCGTTCTCAACTATGTACCTGCCCAGGTGCGCTTGGTAGCTTTGTTTTGATACCGGTAGAAGGAATGACATCACGACTCCTGAATTGGCTTTCACCTGCACGTGCGCCACCGTGTACCATCCATTCCGGTTTCCGCGACGCTATCGAATGCTTGGCGAGAAGGGAAGTTTAATCTCAGCTCTAGCAGGAGATTACGGCGCCACGAAAATCGCAGAGCTATGTGGTTCCACATATCGGAGGTTTTGATGCAGGCGAAGAATAATATCGTGTTTATGTGTACTCTCTTTAACACCCCCGCTAATATGGCAACCATCAAGCCGACTCAAGCACTGCCGTGTTCTATCTACGTTCGCTTGCTTTCCCATTGCTACCTTCACTTCGTCGCTCATCTCGCTTGAATTTCTTCTCTGCATCTTTGACTATACTCTCTGCCTCACCCATAATGTCGCTTCCAACCCTCCATCCTCGAAGTATTACACCCTGCTCGCCGAGGACTTGTTCCGCGTGCGCCCATCTCTGGCGCCAAAGCTGCTCCTTCTTCGTGCCGTACTGCTCGCCTGCAGCACCACTCAGCGTACTACCGGTACTGGTGCGATTGATACCTTGTCGCGGCACAGCAGTAGAGAAAGGCTGAGATGTTTGCGCAGACGTGACCTGTGGACGAGTGTGATATGGCATTGAGGGAGCGTGTTGCCATGCTGACGATGCTTTGGAGCTCACGTAAGATGCTGCGCTTGAAGCTGTATCGCGATTACCACGACGAGGTGGAGGTGGAGGCGGGCCTTTACGAACACCAGTGACATCTAGACTGGACGCATTGGAGCCAGGCTCTTCCGTTGATCGCAACGCAGGCAAATTACTGTAGACGGACCACAGCTTATCCCGAGCCATGCCAGCGTACGACTGCTGATCTTGTGATGCTTGGCTCTGGAAGCTTACGGACGGCTTGGGGCCCACCGGAGGTCTAAAAGGTGCTGAAGTGTTTGCGCTCTTTGTGGCATGATCTTGCTGTGCTAGTGGGCTGGATTGACCGACTGCTGTCGAGGTCTTTCGAGGTTTTGGTGGCTGTGGTCGTGGGTTGGAGGAGGACAGGGTATTGAAAGACGTAGATTCGCTCGATGGGCTTCGTAATGCGACTGGCTTCTTGGGAGGCGCAGGCGCAAACTTCGTACTCACATTCGATCCGGCTGACGAACGGTGTCTTTCGTTGTCAGCCTGAGTTTCGCTGTTGAATTTCCTAAGGGCAGACGAATCGTCTACTTCATCGTCGGATGATAGGTCTATTAAATTGGCCGGAGAATCTCTCGGTGATATACTTTGCGAAGAGGGCTTCCTTGCAGGCAACTTCGGCTGTTGCTCATTGTTGGTCTGCGGAAATGTTGACTTAGAACGCTTGCTATTGTCCGCATCCATGTCACGTAATGATGCTGCAATAGCAGCTCTCAGTTCAGGATCGGTTTCTTCAGACGGCGGTCGAGCCTTAGTAGAAGCAGCCGAGCTCCCTCCACTGGTACGCTGGGTCGATGACGAAGAGTGATCACCTGGTGAAAATCCAGTGGAAGGGTCGAAGAAGCCTGGACTATCTGTTGTGGTGACATCGCGAATGAAGACGGCAACGACTCGCCCTGGGTTCTCTAGTACGAAGTCGGTATAAACTTCCAGATCAGCCTCACCACTATCTCCGATTAATATGAAATTTCGCTCTGGAAAATCTCTTGCGATCTTGTCCAAAGTAACCTTCTTTCTCTCAGCCACGGGCTCGAATATTCCCTGAAGCATGCCGCTGTATTGTTTCAAATGGAACGAGCCGGGGGGTAATCCAGCTAACTCGAAGTATTTTGAGATGACAGGGTACAGCTGCCAGGGCGAGTTGGAGACGTAGTGGAATTTGACCCCCAGCTCCGCCATTCTGTTGTACCACTCTCTGACACCATCGATAGTGAGATCGACAAGATCGCGGATGAAAACATTACGAAAGATCTCGCGGGCGCCGCTACCAATAGCGGAGTGCTTTATTGTGTCGTCGATGTCACTGATGACACTGATTCCCTGCGAGGCAGTAACGATTACTTCTTCTGTTGCCGAGAGCTTGTCTGATGCTAAGATGCGAACGTGGGTGGGCACAAAATCCAAAGCCGCGCTCATACTGAAATGTCCTGCAGCATCGGTGTACACAGTCCTCTGTTTGGATATATTCTCGTTGTAGAAGAAGACACTGATGGGTGTGTTGGCCATTGGTATTGCAAGAAAGTGTCGCAGGCGAGCCATCAGCCTGGCGTTGGCCTCGGCGAGTTCAGACGGGCTCATTTCAGACGGCTGGTTCCATGACCCTCGTTTCTGCAACGGTTTGATGCTGGCCTCACTTCTCATCGAATCTTTGGATGTGCTATGGGCGAGTTGATGGGTCCTGCCATTGTTGGGACGCGTGCTGCTCCCGGTCTCTGTTCGATATAATTGTGTATCGTCCATGTCTTTAGCAGGCTTCTCACTGTAAGCACCGCGTGCCGCCGCCCTTGCCTCTCTCTCGCCACGGCGTAGAATTTCCTCAGCTTCCTTGGCCGCAATGGCCTCGTCCTGCTGAGCGTCGCGCAAGTGGGCCCGTTCGCGAAAGCCATGCCGTTGCGGGCTTGTATCCCGGCTATTATCTCCAGACGAAGTGGAGGGCGTAGCAGGCGCCTGTACGCCAACAAGCTGGCGTGCAAGTCCAATGAACAGCCTCTGCTTCCGCGACATCTGCCCCCTGTGCGGTGAGTATATCCAGCCACGAACATCAACGTCAACTACTGCATTGTCGTCCTCGTAGTTGTTCCATTGCTGCTTCCAAAATTCGGCGTCACCGGCGCCGGTTGAGTCTCGAACGTCGCGTCCTTCACCCTCAGTCTCTTGTATAGTGCCTGGTTGTGCTTCTGGCTTCCTCTTTATGTGCCTCCTAGCATAGCTAGGAAAGAGTATCATCTCCTCGCGGCCGCTTCTGACGACGGCTGCATCTGGAAAGCCGCCCGGCGTGTCGTCTTCATAGTCGTATTGTGCTTCCTTGGTACTCCAGTTGGACGCATACTGTTGCGTATATGTCTGTCGGAGTTCATTTGCAGCCTTCAGGTAGCCCGCCAGCTTGCGTCTCCGTGTGCCAGGCTCCCGCGCCTCGTAGCTCTCTTGGTACGTCATTGCTCGACTGCCCGATTCTGTGTTTCCAGGACGCTTGGCTATCTGTTGTCGTCGCAACCTTGCGGCATCTTCCAGGTAGCTGCGGCCACTCAACCTCCGTGTGTAGTCCCGTAGGCGCTGGAAGATGGTCTGTTTTCCTCGCGCCTTGACAGCCTGGCGATAGACGATGTATTTGTATATGCGCGACTTGGCGTTCTGCTTGAGCGACGGAAATGTCTCGTGGCGGAGTTTGGAAAGGTGAAGGCGGGCGCGCGCTCGACTCCTGGGGAACAGGTAGCGGAAGAGGGACGAGGGAGCGTGGGCGGCGGGCTTGCGGCGAAAGGGCGATTTGGGCATTCAGCCGACTCAGCGGCTGCAGCTGTCTCGCTTTACGGAAGGATTGATATGTGCAGGCTTTGGGGACACGAGACGGATGTTCTAGGCACTGGTGATGCTCCAATTCGGCTGCGATACGTCATGTCGAGGTGCATGCGCCAGCCCGCGTGCTTAGCCACGCAGCCACAGCTGGGGTCTGGCACGGACGGCATCTTGTTTGGCAGTTTACCACCATTGCACAGTATCGTTGCCTATCAGGTTTCTCCACATTCTTGTTCGTCTTCACTCTCCACTCTGGCTACACTAACTTTCGCTGCTTCGATAGCGCCGCGTCGACTGCCTTGTTCACACCTGCCACATCCTTGTCCAATGCATCCAAAATCTCAACCCACATTCTCGCACTCAGCTCCTTCATCTCTGGCCCTGTCAAGCTCGGTCCGTTCGGCTGAATCTTATCGTGTTGCCAAAACCTTCCGTGCAAACCTTCACCCTGTGTCGTCCCACTTAACACCATATTTGCTGCAACAGCAGATGTTCTCATGAACAAAAAGATGAAGAAGAAAGCCAATATGTGTACACCAGGGAAGAAATGATCGCGGCCTAGGTCGGTATTGACCCAACCAGGGCAGACGCTGGTAATGATGACATCGCCTGACGATATTTCGTCGGCAAGCTTCTTTGTCGCGTACATGAGGAAGACTTTGGAGAAGCTGTACTGGCTTCCCTCCTTGTGGTTTTCTTTCTTGTTGTAATGGTCAAGTACGCTGGGCTTTTGACGAACTTCGGGCGCGACAACGGCGTTCTGGTGCTGGCCAGAGTTGACAAATTCAAGAATTGGAATTTTACCAGTGTGTTGTTTCGATTCTTTGAGTTTTGGTAGAAGCAAAATGGCCAATAGGGTCGTAGACAGTGTGTTGACTTGTATATCTTCCTCCCATCCATGTTTTGACTGTATGAACTTGACACGTCGAGTGCCGGCATTCAACACTGCTATGTCCAGATGGTCAAGCTCATTTGCGCGGTTTGCGAAGGCCTCTACGCTGTCATAGGACATCATGTCTAATTCCCAGACTTCCAGCTGATCACGACATCCTAGGCGAGCCTCCAAAGCAGACTTTGCCAGTTCGCCTCTCTTCAAATCCCGTACTGCGATGATAACTTTGGCGGCACCCAGTTTTGCAAACTTGAAGACCGCCTCTACACCGATCCCGGAACTCGCACCTGTGACAATAACGTTCCTTCCGGTATAGTCTTCGTGGACTTCTTTTGGTGGTGTGATCCATTTGTTCTTGAAAATCCTGAACATAGCAGCAGCCATCGTGGACAGAAGAATCGATTGTACGTGATTTACCGCTGGACTTGACTGAACAGTATTGTTGAAGAAAGAGATGCTGGAACTCGATTATTGCATGGGAGACGGAACTACCATTGAGTGAAGACGAAGAAGAGAGTGTGTGTAGAGACCAAGGATGGCCCTTAATGTAGCTATGTTGCGGCGTAGCTCGGCTCCGATTCGCCCATTCCTATAACCCGACTCGCCCATTCCTATAGCCCGACTCTCTCGATTGCACAACGATGGGTACCGAACAATGGAAGAATGAGACTCTCACCTACCCGAACAAGGCTAATTAAGATATGCGCTTGATGACTACAGAACATCAGTCATGTCTGTATGGTGTATGCGTTGGTCTGAATATCGAAGCTGCGTAAACACTACCTAGCTTGTCTGTTCATGTGGACGGATGTCTTTATCCTAAGGGCTTGTCTCCCAATAAGACCAGCCTTGGACAGACAACTCTTCGTGTTGCAAACGAGCGCACCGGAGTATAGGTGATAGACCAGAGTTGAGTAGCAGATGGTTCAAGCATGCAAGACCTCTCGTGCCTTCCAATGTTCATGACTAGCGGGGCTTGGCATACGCGAACGGTTGGCGATTTAGGGCAGCGTCAACGACGTAAACACAGAGTGGAGGTAGAACAACACGTACGCCGCCTCGCCATGATAGCGCCATATCCATCGCCCTCTTGCAACCGCTAAAGAAACTTCACTACAATACCCCCCGTCTACCGCCAAACCCTACACAATGGCTTTCAACCAGCGCCCACCCCGAGGCCCCGCGCAGGCTGGAGGTGCCCCGAATATGGCCCCGGACTTCAATGCCATGCTTCAGCGCTCTATGCAGGCGCCTGGACAGCTTCAGCCTCAAGTCTCAGAACCCCCACGAGGGCCATCGCCGTCTATTGGTAAGGCATTACCGCCGCCGACAGGCACAATGGCGCAGTGCTAATACCGCCCCAGGTTACGAAGGCGTATATAGTGCCACTCCACCACCACAGCATGGCCCCAATGTACTTGGTGGTGCACGAGGGCAGGCGCCGCCGCCAGTGTTGCCCGTCGACCTCCCACCGCAGGCCTTTCTGACGTCGGCGATGCTGTTAGATATGGTGGACAGTATGGAAATACCTTGCATTGCGCCCCAGAGGATATAACGTTGACACAATTCAGAGAAGGTTGACGTATTACTGCGCGACGAGAAAGAGTATATTGGTATATTACGTTCATACGACCAATTCGGTGCGTCTACCATTAACTCTCTTCGCATCATTGGCATCCGAACTAACAAGCTACAGCGAACCTCGTCCTCACCGAGTGCTATGAGCGAATAGCAGCCCGCAACCCCGACGCATCACCTGCGTCTGATCCCTCTGTCCCACGTTGGCTGATACACGACGTCAAACTCCCTGGTGTTATGACTGTAAGAGGCGAGAACGTCACCATATGCGCAACCGTCGACCTCGACCGAGAAGAACACCCCAAAGGCGCAATGTTCGCCGAAGAAGACCAAGTACGGGCGCTGGCGGCAGCTCAAAAAGCAGAGAAAAAGGAAACCGATTTACGGAAAGCCAAGGCGCTGAAGCAGGCTGGTATTGAGCCTGGGTTCGGTATGCAAGGGTAGTCTATTCCAGACTAGGGGAAGATGAAAGAGCAGAAAAATGGGGAAAAGGGATATGAATTATGACATGAATGCATTCGTGGCATAGGAAAGGGAATCATTGCGATCTCTGGATAGCTACGTTTGGCTGTGGTTATGATATCAATGATACCAGGACACTATGTCCACCTGCGATGGGGCAACGTCTCGGTTCCGAGTCTTTGTTGATCTGAATGTCCTGGCTAAAGTGATGTCCCGCAAGATTTGACAATCCGCGCCTAGATCTGTTGTCTGCACTACTGGAATTTCATTATGTCGCCATTAGAGGTTTCGGGGTAACAAACTCGGAGACTCATTCTCTGGCTCAACAGTCGAAGGCCCTTCAGCATAAAAAACTCATGCATTAGCTGAACAAATTTTACCTGTCTCCTCATGGACATGGCATTTAGCGAACAGAGTGGGTATGCAACCACACTGGTACTATTGTACAGAGTTGTTTGAAAATACTGCGTTATCTTATCCTAGCACCAACACTCATTCCATTGCAACGGACTCCCTCAGACTAAGTTCCAGGACGCAAGAGGCTCGTGGCCGCCGGTTGTACTTGTTGAAAGTATCTATGCAGCTGCGTGGTCTGATGAGCAAGGCTATTAGGAAATGCACCTCCATTACTGATCACCAACGCGAACAGTAGCTAGCAGCGTAGTGCTGCCCTGCTTCTAGCAGCAATCTGATCCGAAGGCGCTTACTCAATCTTCGTAAGCATCAATACATGTGTGAGCTATGAACACTACAGAGTGACTAGCGCGGGCTGTATTGTCGATGTAGGCAAGAACAACGGCGAGTGCTGGCGCGAAGCGATAGCTAGTATGTTCAGTGAGTTGTAGTGTGAGCCTAGGCTTGCCAATCCATGGCTCCATTGGACATAGCATGATCTCTGTATTGTGGACATGGTAGAGCGGAAAAGCCGAAGCGGCAGTCCGAGCTAACAACGCCGACTCTTCGCCCAAAGACCCAGGGCTGGACAGTACTACTCTTGTCCTCGCCAGAAGGAGTCTTCAAACCAGACGACGGCACACACTAAAGTATAGCACGGGTCACAGATAGTGTAACAGAGAGTCAGAGACGTGGGACGGTTTATACAGGCCCATCCTCACTTCTGTCATGATGCGGCTACAGCAAGCTATGTGCTGTCAGACGCAGCACGAAGCCTGCTCCTGCATCAGGCTCCACCAATGTACATGAAGCTGCGCCTGGTCGGTATCAAGCCCAGCCTAACTGCAGATGCTAGGCCCAGTCATCTTGACAGCACTACTCTGTACTCCACCAAAAAGTATACGTGGGCATCGAAGCCGAGCTACCGAGCATATTCGCGTGATCGTAATGCGGTGCGGGTGGAGCCTTCGACACAGGCATCGGGTTCGAGGTGGATACGGTGGATACACGTCTGCAGTGAACTGTATTGGTGACGGAGCTACGTCCGCTACGTGGAGGGGTCACCGGGTGGTCCGCCTCGTTGCTACGATGAAGGTGCAGGTCGCAGGGCAGTATTTCTCGCGTCACTCTGCTGTGCCACACGGTCGTGCTACTATACGGATACCTACAGTCAATATGAGATGCGTTTGTAAGTTCCACTTACTGGTCCTGTTCGGGAATTCCCTCCGGGCGAAAGGCATATAGTCGCCACTACCCGACAATCTCATCTCAACGGCTATCATGAACTTTCGATGATTCCATGGAGAGCCCAGCTTACAGCTCGCGATAAGGTCGGCGGTATTGAAAACGCAGCGTAGCTCTGAAGGAGAATAGGTAAGGCGTTGGAGCAGCTTACGGAGAGGAACAGCGGTCCAACGGCGGCTAGTGCTCGACTTTTGTGGGTCTTGGCAGCTCACCAGAGTGAAAGACTCTTGGGCAAGGGGCGAAGCTTTTTTTGGCAGGACCTGAACTAATTGGCATCAGAGATGTCTTGATTTGAGCTGCAGCAAGGCCGTCAGTCATCGTAAGCATTGTCCAAAGCGCGCAATACGTTTCGTCGATTCGTAGAAGGCTGAGTCCAGTAGGGCTATTCTCTGGCTGAAATCTCGAGTTGTTTGGCCTTCGTCCTCCGCAAATTAGGGGGAACGTCCAACTTGTGTTCAAGGCGTCGATAGGGAAGGAGCTGGCAGACGCGGTACAGCAATGCGGGTAGTGGCGACTATGCAACCCATTTCACCCCCAGTGACGGCGCGTGAGCGTGGAGTGCACGACGCGTGTTGCAGTCTGCTCAACAAGGCGGTAGTGTACAGAGGCAGCAAAAGGCCGTTGTCTACAAGAGTTTGAAGATGGGATGTGGGTGTGGCTGCCCTCTGACATGGATGAGGGGAGTACTAGTTGCTAGGGTACCATACTTTGGAGGCAGTCACGTCGGACACGTTCTGTCACCAGCCTTCACGACCTTTTCATCTTCATCATCGATCTATCATCCATCTCGGTATTGCCATCTAAGATGCCATACCTGCTCATGTTCTCCGACACGATGGCATGGTTGCCACACCAACGTGCGATTTCTCTCTGATGTCACGACGCTCCCGCAAGAGCTTCTCCGCCAGCGAGCCGAGAACAGGCGTGCACGCCTGTAGCCCTTTGGTACCTTGAATCGCGACACTCCAGGCATGTCCGACTGGTTCTGCAGGTGATGGTTATCCATTGCCTGCACCCCCAGCGACGGACAGGAGTGCCTCTGAGAAGAACCAGACCCACATGGTAAGCAGCTCACACGGCAGCAGGAACATCCAAAAAAACCAAGAGATTCTGGTCACGGCTCCAAAGGATACGCCGTCATGCTGTCTCCAGCTGCGTCATACAAGATTGCGTTGCGCTTACGCACCTCGACTCTACCGTCATCGGTCCTTACCCTGCGACGACGTTGGCACGAGCCATGGATGCAAGTGGTACTATCTTCGACTGTTAGCAGCGAATGAGTTGTGCCCCTGAAACAACACAGTATACAAAGCTGTGATAACTCCTATTACTGCGATGCATTGCTCTTAGTTTGGGATATGCAAGTACGCAGTGTCAAAAGAAAACGCCAGAGGGGACCGGAAAATAGGACGCAGGGTCTAGAACCTAGTACTGTTTCCGACTCTTTCGAGATTGGGCCATATGCACAATGCACGCGGACGGAAAAGCCACCACGCCAAGACCAAGTGCAGGCTGTGTACCAATCAATAATGAGTAGCCAGCATCGGAGAATTGAGACGTTTAGAAGACTGCAGGTACTGGGAAAAGCAAAAGATATTGGAAGTAGGCAAGAGCTGGGTTGGACGGCACACCACACCCTCAGCACTGCCTGGGCTACGTACCAAAGCACTATACACAAGATCGAGTCGACCGCTCTCGGTGTAGCCGCACCGAACACTGCGGTCGTATAGTCGGCTTCTCACGAATCGATGTCTCTTGCCGATGCGTCTCCTCGAAGCCTCCCGCAGCGATCGAACAAAGATAGCTTGCTGGATCCTATCGCGCTCCGTCTCATTGTGAGGTGGTTTCGCTAGCTCGCTCTATCCTCGTTATCCATACCGCGCTGTGCGGTTGGGGTATCAGGCTCGAATACCGAATGTTGGTCGGGTGTTCCTTTCTCGACATTGAACGCGCACTGTAAAAGACAGATTTCCTCCGATGGCTTGGGTACTACACATCCCGTATTGGGTCGTATGGACGAGTCTCGCTTGGTGAATACTCCGTTCGCTGTGGGCTCGACGACTGAACGCTGCTGTCCGGAGGCGATTGGGCTGTCTGTACTTGTATTGGTGACCCCGACCCTGACCCTGAGCTCGTACCCGGCATTCCTTGTAGCATACTGCCGGCTTCTGCAAATCATTTGGATTAGCTAATGTACTTGTACAGTGTGTCCCTATAGCTGACCGCTAAGTCGAGTCACCAGAGTCGGGCACCAATGCACATACCGTATTTCCGTTGGATGTCTCGGAGCAGTTGCGACACCCGCCATTTCAAAATTATCATCTCGACAGGTGGAATACCCTCAGCTCGAAGGCGGGTGTTGATCCTCTCCAGCATTTGTTCTTTCTCGTTCGCGGGGATGAGGATCCATCTTTTCCAGTCAGGGTGCGCCTCCGCAAGCTGCCTGGCCTCGTCTTTGGTTATGAACTAGTCTCGTTAGCCAAGCATACCCTTGCGACAAGAGCATACCTACGTAGAATCGGTCCCATTGTTCCTGGCTGTGGTTTGCAGCTGTTCGGGCCTCTTGCACCGTCGCATTTATCCGAATACTCATGGCGACTGGGAGACCTGGGGACAACAAACGACGCTCAAAGAAAGCCAGCTAGTTTCTGGAATCACAGGGAGCAAGAGAAGCAGGAGATTTTAGGGCACCGCGGTCTACCCCCCGCTTCCGCCTAGCCTTGGCGAGATTTTGTTTTGGGAGAGGCTGAGGTGAGGAACTGTGACGGTGCTCGCAGGGCTCGGGCCTTAGAAAGTCGGAATCGGCGGTGGCTGAAATGCTTGTGCGTCATTCTCGACAGGATGTCATTGGCAGAGCAAACTCCCAGTAAGAACGGCAATTTCTTGTGCCTATTGTTTCCATCTGATACTCTCGCGAGATGTTGGTTCTCGTGTCATATCACCCTGGTGGTGAGCCGCGGACAACGGACGATCAGCCTTTGCTGTCGAATTTCATGCCGTACACCCATTTGAATGTTCCAGCACGGACATTCGGTAGTCTTCGGCAACACCACGTTAAGTAATTCCATGAACGATGCAATTGTTTTTCTAATTGCGGCCAGTCTCCGTTGAGATGTGTAGCACAAATACAATACAGGTTATCAAGCAGCATTCAGCGCAAAGCAACCGGTCACGCACTGTTTCGCCTGACCAACACGAAGATTATTCAGGAGGTGCAGCATCCTTGTCAGTGAGAGCGCTCTGCCGCAGCCGAGCGCGGAAAATTCGATACTGTACGCGTTCGGCCGCTATGGTCGATCAACCGTGTACGCGGACCCGGGGTCAGACTTGATAGCCCAGGTCACATTTCCGGCCCTAACCGGCCCGAGCCTCAATGTGCAGCACGTTCCAGGGCTATCCTGGAGAAGAGCTGATATGTGGGATGATACAACACAACGTTTTGCTTTGCCCTCTTGTCTCATTCTTCTTCCACATTCACATCCTCAAATTTGGGTCTGAAACGCACCCTAGGACAGACCTCTCCTTGCTTCGTTTAGTACGACGTCCCTGATCATGTCCTTTTGTGGCTTCAACGGCGACACTGCGGGGCATTAGCTGGAACGGCAAGTTACGCCGTGCGCTTTCGACTATCGATACTGATGCCCACGTCTTACGCCACGCCTCGTGTGGGACTAAGACAAGCAACACCAGACTCGTGGTCATCGTCCTTGACGCTACCTTCGGCTACGCCACGCGACGGCACTAGCCCAGATCTTAGTTCAGTGCACCGCTACACCAGGTCAGCTCTCTGCAACCCATAAGCAAGATGCGGGTTGCACGGCATTGGAGGCAGTGCGCGATTTCAGTCAGATCAGGATGGACTGCATCATCGAGCATGCGACGGTCTGTGTGAATATTCCGAGTTGGCAAGGCGCAAAATGGCGCCTACCAAAAGGATCGTGACCCCGAATATTTGTCCCACTATTGGATGACTCGAATCCAACATTGACCGCCCACGTCAGGCAAACTCACCGGTGGTTTGCTCACTATCGAGGTCTGACTTGCTGACAGTTGGCGGCGTTGTCAACTTCGTCTACATTGCATAGCTCTAACAACCCCCACACTAGGTGTCCGTCCCGCGAGATTGCATCTGCCATGCCATCACCGCCTTGATAAAACTACCTGACTAACACGTAGTACTTCTTGTCTAGCTTGGGCACCCTTTCCAAATGGCGTTTCGTCAGCATATCCCCTACAGCTTCATGAACCCAATGCTTTCTTTAATAGACAGCAAGAGAATTGTGAAATCATAGGGTGAACTTCTCCGAAGGCCTTCTCCAACCGTTAGTATGGAGATGGGAGGGCCAACCAACACCATAGCTATCCTTGGCTTGGTCTTTCGACACAAAGTGCCGGAGTAGTTCAGTGGTACACGGTCCGGCACCAATCTTTCGTGTCACATTGAAATGGCCTAGGCCGTATCGCTTCGCAGGGACATGAAATGCGAGGACCGGCACTGATATCTCAGCTTGACGACGTGCATGCAGACGTTTCCGTGCGCATGTGCAGTCCTGCAGCCTTATGCTCGACATCATCCAGGTAAAGCGAGCAGCAGGGCAGATTCGGACAATAACTTTCTTCTTCTCAACGACTTCTTCCGCTGTTCCAGTATTGTCCGAAACCTGGGGCCGTTTGCTTTTACGGTAGGCGACCACCGGTTAATGAACTCCATTATCGTACGGATTACTGAATTGGCCCTAGTATTTCTTCTTCGTTCGGGCGCTGCAATAATTCTTCTTGCTGGCCGACTCTTCCTTTGAACTCTCATCTCCTCATCACATTCCCGATTTTGACCAGGACGCACATGGTCGTTTCAGTCCCAGACAGGCGTATACAACTCATTTACCCTGCCTTGTAACGCGCAATAGGCGCTCGAAAACCCTGTACGAGAACTTCATCGAAAACAAGCCTGTTGTTTTTCTCGAATAACCTGAGAATGCCAGACTTATGTGGGAGTAAGACTGCTGAGCTTGCAGTTTGGAACGTCTCTATCGTCACACAGAAGAAGTATATATGATCTTCTTACTGTCAAGTCTTGATCGAGTGGTCATGGCTAGCCTTGTCGTTCCCGCCTCCTATGTCGGACATGATTCGCGTTTCATTGTCACGCTGGTTTCCGGAAAGATCGTCGCGGATATATTACATCGTTGGTTAGCACCGGAGGAATTCAGAAACATTGCCTCCATGGACGCCGACTTTTCTGCCCAACTGTCGCCCATTGCGCAAACCTATCTTTCACATGGCACTTGAGGGAAAATAGTCTACTAGATGCGATGCGGAGGCTGTCGGTCCGTCGCGTTCATTCTAAACGTGGTAATTGAATGGAAGCCCCGCTCGATTTCCGTGCACCAATTACGACTATACCACGGCCTTGGCTACTATACTACCCCACAAACTAGAGCCGCTTCGACATGCGATTGCCATATGATCTAATATGAAGCGGAGTGCCTTGTACCGTTCTGTTTCTGGTAGGTATTGACTGTAGTCGTGATGAGCAGTTATAAGTGCTCTTTCGAACACGATAGCTGGACACTCATCACCAGCAACCGGCGACTCGATTCCATGAAGCTACTTTCAATCCTCTCGCTATGCGCAACTGCGGCGGCATTACCTGCAACATTTAGTCTATCACCACGAGCCTCGATCTCAAAAGCCGACGGCCTCAAGTTCAACATCGATGGTGTGACGAAGTGTAAGTTTGAAGACTAATGATCATTTTGCACCGCTCACAACACCATAGACTATGCTGGTACCAACTCTTATTGGATCCCTTTCTTGACGAACGACAATGATGTCGACGTAATCATGGGTCATCTTGCTACGTCAGGCCAGAAAATACTCAGAGTATGGGGGTTCAACGACGTCAAAACCATCCCTGGTTCTGGCACAGTATACTTCCAGTCCTTCTCCGGATCCTCTGCCACCATAAATACAGGTACAAACGGTCTCCAGCGCCTGGATGCTGTAGTCAAAGCTGCGGAAAAGCACGGCATCAAGCTCATAATCAACTTCGTGAATAACTGGACCGATTATGGGGGTATGGCCGCCTACTTCTCCGCCTGCGGCGTAAGCAGCAACGCACAATGGTACACAGCGGCCAGATGTCAGGGCATGTACCAGAGTTACATCAAAGCCGTCATTGCCCGCTATCGCAACTCCAATGCTGTGTTTGCGTGGGAACTCGCCAACGAGCCGCGCTGTAATGGCTGCCAGACGTCTGTCCTGACTGAATGGATCCGCAAGACGAGTAACTACATCCGTTCTCTTGACTCAGACCACATGATCACCGTCGGCGACGAAGGCTTCGGTCTCCCGGGCGATGGTTCCTATCCTTACCAGTTTGGTGAAGGCATAGATTGGGAGGCAAACTTGAAGGTGGGAAACATCAGTTTCGGTACCTTCCACCTCTACCCTGACAGCTGGGGCGTGAGCAATGCGTTTGGCGACGGCTGGATCAAGGCACATGCGCAGATTTGTAAGAAGCTCAACAAGCCGTGTTTGTTCGAAGAATATGGTGTGCCGAAGAAGGAAGATCATTGTCCGGTGGAGGGTGGCTGGCAAAAGACTAGTCTGTCGTTAAAGGATAGTGGTATGGCGGCGGATTTGTTTTGGCAGCTGGGTGACACCGTGAAGAGTACTGGACAGCTGACGCATGACGATGGACACACGGTCTACTATGGGAGTGCGGATTGGAAGTGTCTGGTGGATGACCATGTCAAGGCTATTGGGTAGGATATTAGAAAGTTAGAATATCAGGGGGTTGGTAGCGATGACTTCAGTTCTGGTGTTCGTTCGTGCTTTTATTAGCTCGCGACGCGAGGCATGGGAGTTTGCGGGGACGCGTGCTAACACCAACACTCCAACCCACCTGGCACCGCGTACCCCCCCTCACCCCCCCTCGCCGCACCCGATGGCTTGTCACAAAGGGCCACCATGCAGCACCAGCCTTGTTGAGACACCCTGATGTCGCCGACTTACAGCCTGACTCTGGTTGTTTGCTTTACTGCCCGCATACACACTGCAAACTATGGAGAGAGGGATAGGCTTCGTCAAGCTTCCCGAACGGCTAGACGCGCTCGCAAAGCGCAAGCAGCAATGATTGACAGCGGCGTCTTCGCGACCGGTCGTACGAGGTAATATGGAGGCTATGGATCACCACAGGGCACAGCAGATGGGTCTGGGTGTAGTTTGGGGGCCGTAATCCTGCGCCACAAGCGAATAGCTTGCAGACGCCCAGAGACAGCTGAATGTGCGTGCGACAACTGCGGATAGCCGGGCTATAGTAATCCCCTCCAGCCTTAACTCTCAGGTCTTTCACAGACCGACCTTACCATGTCATTTCACTTTGTTACGACAGTCCATCTCTTCCACTCCCTGTCGTGAAGTCTTCCCGCCGCACCCACGCTGAGCCGCTCACTTGCAGCCCTAGGTTGTGCAAACGCGACCCTACGCAGCCTCCCGCCAATACGGACCGCAAGAGCACTATAAGAAGAGAAGGCTGAAACGTAGACGACAACAAAGAGGGGTGGTACACGCCAGGCACCATGGTCGATC